GCGACCATGGTGACAAGATTTTCATATATTTTGTTATTTGTTTATATAAACTAATCAGTTTAATTTCTTTACTCATCCTTTTATAAAATTTATCACTGTGTAACATTCAACTCAACTAACTGCCTTCAAACGTCTTTCGGTAATAAAAAAAAACTTCATATATAGCCCAACGGGGTGGGGTGCATAGTTTTATTTTTTGTAATGAATTAATATGTAATATTTTAAATGATGAAGTGTCGACCTAATTTTACCAATTTTTTTTATCAACATATATATCGGAATTGTGAAGACTTGTAATGTGCAATTGTCAGATTACTTTAAAGATATTTTTTTAATTTGAACATTTCGATTAGTTAATATTTTTTTGAAATTTATTAGATTAATTTTTCTTTCTGGAATGAAAGGTCAATTTTATGTAACATTCGTTGGAAATTTTGAGATATTCATTTCTGGTATTGGTTGAAATCATCAATATAATTGCAGAAAAATTGTTAGATCACGAAATAGTATCGAAAATAGGAAGAAGGGTCATAAAAATATATAATGTAGGGTTTTTATTTTAAAGCGAGGGCTTGCGCATATCACTTTGACTTTTATTTATTGTTTTAAAAGTCATAAACACGATTTTCTACTTAGAGCTTGGTTGCAACTAACCTCCATAAAAAGATCTGGGATTTGACTTTCTTCATATTTGTTTTTCGGCTCAAATTCAAGTCTTTCGTGTTTTTGCGAGGAAGAACGTAGATAAAATCTGTGGGCTTTGACGGGAACGGCATGACACCGGCAGAAATTTTTTTATGAGAATTTTTATTATTAAGTATAAACTAGTGAAGAACGTATGTTAAGTTACGTGCAGACGAGCTTATATAGTAACACTGAGGCGTGGTTCTTCTATGATCAATATTAAGCAGTAGCACTCATTCACGGCGAAGGCTTAAATATAAAAATTGTTTGATTATGACCGCCATTTTATTTGTAAGACATATCTTCTTAGATGAGCAAAATCAGGTAATTTATGACGTTATTCGTTATTCGACGATAAGATTACCAATTTTTGCAAGTACAATTATTTACAATTTTAGGGATATGAATATTCACAAGAGTTGATTTGAGTTAGCAACGAGTTCAAAATTATCAGTTCCCATGTTTTGCCTAAAATATAACGCTGTATGTTTGACAATTCCAATTGTGACTGACTTTCCACGCTTAATAAGAGCGACACCTGCGCGTAGCCGCCGATGGGACTGAAACTAATTGACGGCATAGCACGATGCCCAACAAGGTGGGCTGAATTGGTAAAAATAATTGATTTTTACTGGGGTTGAAGTATTATTTATTTTCATTTTTCCATGGCGTTAGCGTTTAATGAGGTGCGCTATAAGCCAATTATCGAAGATTTCATGAAATAGGTTCTAATATGAGCTTCCAAACATGCCAATTAAAGAATAGACAGATTGAGTTAGACAAGACACCAAACGCCTGAGAATCCGTATCCCTCGCCGGAATCATTAAATTGATCCTTTTGCTGGACACCGTGACTACGCCACTTGTGTTTGAAGTATCAAGTGTCGAAATTAAAAGTTGCGAATGGAAACAAACAACAGATTGTTGACATTTTGCAAAAAGGGGAAAATTTACTACCAATTAAACTCGATGCACTGATAAAATGCCGCACCGATTCGATTAGTTTATCAATGACCCGTGTAGAATGAAATATGATAAATCTGCGTAACTAAAAGTTGAATATCGTCGTCAATAGCTAAAACTTATATATTACATCAATGAGAATTACTCTTTCTCACATAACAATGGTTTATAACAGTGTTTGTGTGCAATATACGTTCAAGGCAGGCTAAGATTTAGAATCTTTCACAAAATATTTATATTTAGCCTATATTGCGGGAGTACAGAGTTGGGGAGAAAAAATTCAGGTCAATCATAAATATAACTGGTTAAAAACGTGCTCATTTTTTCGGTGATATTTGCACCTTTGTTGCCGATTTAGCTGCTCTATATGACGTTGATGAGATAATGTTAATTGGAGTACTTTTCTGAACGTTAATACTATTTTGGGTTGTGTTCAAAATATTACTTTAGTACTTGCCCTTTGCATTAAATGCTTCTGACGCCTCAACTTTCTTGTGCTTATTGAAAAAATTAACTTAATTAAATAAGAAATCACTTGCCCGAATTACTCAGAGTAGTTTCAAATCAGGCGAGATGTCGTCTATGGAAAAACTCTAGAAGCTGATGTCAGAAAAATTCACGCAATCTGTTTTTTGTTTTTTGCTGGTGAAACGGAATGGGTATTCGCAATAAACTGACTCGCATACTACAATACAAAACAACGCAACGACATCTCTATTTGATCACAACGTACAATTTGTTAGTATAGTTATCTCCTATCGCGCTTTCTGCTACATTTGTGTAATACATATGAAACCAGAATTTCGCTGCAGTGAACAATCCACATAAAATAGTTCGTTTTATTGATATCGACATAAAACGAGGGCGATGATCAGAAGATAGCCTAACTAAGCATGGAATCGAAGAGAAGATAAAATGGGCAGCTAGGCATAAGAGACAACATATATGTTTTTGTTTCAAATAACCATGCCCATTAGTTGCCTACATGTCTACTATATATAGCCTATATATATGTAATGTTATTCAATTAATTTTATGCAGTAAAACAAATTAATTTTGTCATGGCCTCACTTTAATTAGTTAGTCATTACGTTTAAATATTTCATTTAGGATGGCATGTTTATACAATGCATATTTAGCAAGACTATTAATTCTGTATAATCGCCAGTAATCTGTATATGAGGAAAACTGGTAAATAGGTATTATCAACGTGTTCTTAAAATTTTGTGATAAATATTATATAATATTAGGGTATTAACGTAACAGTTACACACAAATCCCTAAATATAATAATATTTTTGAAAATACGGAATGTAAAATACAATGCAAAAATGTAATTTCTGATATTCCCAAATTTATACCTAATACCATCAAGTATTTCTTGAAAAATTATAAACCTCTTTAATCTATTTATTTTGAAGATTCGGTTTACGTGGTTTATATAAATACTCATAAATCTTCAACGTCACGTTAACGTTTGAAAAAGACATATTTACTTTATAGTTACATCAATTATAAACTAAACAAATTTTATTATTCTTTCCTTAATGTGTTATATTTATGATTATACACAAAGAGACATTTCATGACGTTGGGGCATTTTTGTTTCGAAATATTTACCACGGCTGAAAATTACTTGAAAAATTATATCTCAGCGTAAATTTTGCAGCCGCCCAAAGTTTTCCTGATCTTTAAAATCGAACGATTTTAATATGGATGTTTTTTCTCTAATATAAAACTACATACTTACAACAGTATCGACAAAAAATTGTTTTGTGCTCCTTTGAGACGAAAGACGGGTGTCAAAGGTCACGTTGCTTATCGCATCTTTTTGACACGACTTCACCCTAATCTCTATGTACACTAATAATGTGTCGTTACTGTATTTCATGCACAGACTATTCGGATTTAAAAAACTACGAACGCGGGGAAAAGTTTTCTGCTGTCTCTTTTTCAATTTTAACGTCAATAGGAATAAATAAAGAGCTCAGTACAAAAAACGTACTTGACCCACGGACGATTTCATCTGCGAAAATTATCTTCGAGTATTCGACGCGGAGAGCAGACCTTTTCAGCATGGCTGCGGGTGTTTGTTGTTTGTGAATCAGACGTAGATATGCGCTGAGGAGGGATAGAACAATGCTAGTCAATGTGGATGGTAGTTTGACTGGAACATCTTCGTCGCTTTGCCGTGAATTTTTGGCACAGTCGTAGATGCGAGATAATAAATTTGGTGTTCTTGTATTTCATTTTTAGAAAGAAGATCATTTTGATATTTGGATCTTAGCTAATATAAAAAATAATAATGAAATGAATTAACTGAATTTTTATAGGCTCCCAGTCCTCGAATGTTTAGAACGTTTTATTGAAAATGGTTCGAATAAGTTCAATGATAAAATATTATTGTGACTCTGATAAATAAAAATGGTTTCGTTTGGCGAACTGTTGCCCTGTAATCTAAACGCCTTGGGGACGTTGTCAAGGATAAGCTTTACATCGTGCTGTTTGTGATTGTTTTGACAGAATTTAATTCTTCCTATGAGCAGGAGTATTTTCACAAATAATGCTCTAAGACAATTCGAATTAGAAGCGTGGATGTTTAGACAATCAATTAAAAGTTCATAGCTATTTCGTATTATTACAATCGCGAAAAGTCTAGTTCTAGATTGAAGTACACATTCCTGCTCTTAGAAGTATTTTTTATAACGTACAATAAGGGATTAATTTTCAACATTCAGAATGAAAAATTGTTAAAACGGGTTAGGAATGGCTCACACCAAATATGATCAAATGGAAATCTCGTTTAAATAAAAACGTAAATTTATTTATTTTGATTTTTGTTCGATTTGATTTGTAACCTTACAAATTTTATGTCCGACCCTAGTAAAAAGTTGAAGTGCGCAATGTTTGCTTTCTCTAATCATTCAAGCAAAATGTACTTTTTTAAAAACTCGAAAGAAAAACTGCTGGTACGAAAAACCGATTGTGCGTATTCATTTTAAATTTTTAAGATGTTTTAGAGACACGTTGTCTTTCAGCTCTCGAAAGTTGAAAAATGGACGCGGGGTTATGCCATTATATTTTGGGTAGACCGAGTTGTCGGCGAGAGACAATAATAGTTTGAGAGTTGTAAATATTGTAACATTAACAGTTATAAATATTAGCGGAAGTATCAAGAAAGATTTGTTTCTTTTCCTAGTTTGAAGGTAGTAGAAGATATATCTTTGCTCTTTTAGCCTCCTAGACTAAGTGTTTGCGGGTTTGACTTTTATTTCCTATCATTGCGAGAGACGCCATATTCGAAAAACTGTTGATCGGCGCCAAGTTCAATTCAAACTTATCGTTTGTTTCAGATAGAAAATCTTCATATATACTGCCAGTTTCGCTAATTTTATCGATAGCCACCCGTATGGATGTCAAACCGCGGAATAATTAAATTAATCTATTGCAACCGAAGAGATACCAAGATAAACAAAGATATTGTGACAACGACGAGGAATCTGATTGACAGTGTTTTGTTACTTATCATCTGTAAATAAATTTCAAATAAATAGACTGAAAGATGATGCCAACTACTGCTGATCAAAATCGTTGGTTTCAACATTTACATCACTCCCATCATCATAGTGGCATGACATCAGCAGCAAACCATCATCAAGAAGGAGGCCCGTCATCTGGAAATCCACTTCAGTCTCCTGGACCCCATCACCCACATCCGTCACTAAATCCCTATATGAACCCCACGCACCAGTATGTTCCAGGTGAGGAAGTGGATATGTATATTCACCACATGGACAGCCAGACCGCCGCAACAGCAGGCATAACAACGGCAGGATACTACGGCCTTAACAATGCAGCGCGAGCCGCCGCTGCCGTACATCAGTACCGAGCTCATAATCTTAACGGTAAGTCGAATATTTTGAAATATTTTATCGAACTGGAGCAATTGTTTTTAGTGGATAATTTCAACAAAAATTCTTAACTCATTTGAAACATAAATTATTATTTTCGGGTTCTTTTTTGTCAGCTTTTATGTCCGGAATATTGAACCAAAAATTGACTAATTGTTTAGTGTAGACGTCAATAGATACTTCTCTCAAAATGCATTCTATATGCGATATATGCTAGGCAAAATACCATGATAAATTTAACGAGTAATAGTAAAGTACAAGAATTTATTGAAAACATATTTGCGAGAGACAACGGAATATAAATAAGTCACCAATTGAATATATATTTAATTCTATTCCCATCCAGATCACTCCCTATTTCGATATACGAGTCTAGTTGAAATAAAAAATCGATGTGCATATGATAATTATCGTGTTAAAATGTTCTATGTTCACATTTTGTTGACAAGCAGAAAATAGTACATGACTTATTGCTGATCGCAATCTTCCTTAGAATTGAATAAAATAATTGTAAAAATACCATTAAAAAAATGATAAACGGAAAACAGTGTAGATTACAAGTTGGGAATATATTACAGGCTACAGCATATATATATATGCACTTGTAACATTTTTAATTGTATATTGATAATTGTAATGCATTGTCATTATAACTCATTTCCATTCTGCGTCATTCACAAGCTCCATAGTACTGAATACCTGATAGAGTAAATCATAATATATTGCAAATATCAAAATATACGGTTCTGTCACACCGAGGCGTGGAATTTATATAACTTATCGTCAAACATAAATTCTAGTTCAAGATATATTAAGCTATAATTTTTACAGCTTTATGAAGATAAATCCCACTATTTTAGAGAATCAAATTTTCTGTTTTCTATTGGTTGTTTAGCATAATTAAAGTGTATGCATTCAAATTTTCTGTATTGTCTTCTTGTTTGTTTCAATCGCTTCTGTGGACATATTAATACTATACAGTGATATTAAAATAATTATCATTTTAAAATGCACCAAATAAAATATCTTAGCTCATTAAATAAATCTTAGGTTCCAGTCATAATACTGTGACCCCGACCAAATAATTGTAAAACGTTCCACTAATAAAAGTTTTTTGGCTACCGCATTTAAAAATGGAGCTAGATTGTTGTGTTCTAGTGATGTTTCATATATATGACGTTTATTAATAATGAGGATCAAAATATTTTCAAGGTAAAATAGTGAATGAAGTATTGATTTATCAATCATTCGATGCACACGGTGCAACTTGCTTTATCCAGTAGGCTATATGATGTAGTTCCGAAACAAAGCAATCGTCTTTAAAAATCAAACTGTTAGCTGCGGTTGTATCATATATAGTGTGAGAAAACGTGTTATGGAAATCCAGGCTGGTACAAACTTCCATTTTATAAAAGAAATCCACATTGATCATGATCCAATATGCTGCTCAAATCTTCTTCAGAAAAATGAAGTAATAATTAAATATAGAATTTCATATATTTGTTAACCGAGTGCAAAAAGTGAACTTCATAAGATGAGTTTTGTTTGATAACTCTGAATAAATATAATAATAATAACGCAGAATTATTATTAACTGCCATTGTTAAATCCTAAACGTCTGTCGATCTTCATCATTGTCAAGAACTTCTTACCAAAAATTATTCATATTGTGAAAAGAAAATGGCGTGGCACGCTCGGTGTCGACTTACATGGTATTTTAATACGGAATTCGCATACCGCTTACGTAGAATATCCTTGTCGTTTTCTAGCAAGTGATACTGACTCAGGCAGATTGACCCCATCTCGAATTGCCCAAGAAGCGTTTATTTCCAATTTTATAATATAAAGTATCAGTTCCTCGCTCGTCGTCAAGTTATCTTACCAAATATCTTGTCATACCCGGAGGATGAAATTACAATACAGTACGGGAAAATGATACTCTCACGCACAAGCACAGATCGAAACAAGACAATTGCCGTAGCCAAAATGGAAAATTGCTCAAATAATAATGTTTGTGAAATATCTAGGAATATTTTTTACACCGCATAAATTCAACGTGCAATTTGTCAACGGATTTAAGATTTTTTGGGGTATATTTCATCACAGCGGACGACGGTTGACCATAGTAATATCGTAATTCCATTTTTTTTTTCGTATTAGTTTATATAGAAAACGAGCAGACCGTTGTCGTGAAGGTGGAATTATTCGGAAATTATGAATTTATTCTTTTCGATATTAATAATAATTCTGGAAAATAACACTTTATTTTAAAAAATAATACGCCAGAAAAAAAAACCACATTATTATTCATAAACAGCCTTGCTAAATGTACACATCATACTCGAAGATTTGCTCTGCTTTACCCAAATCTCCCGATCATTTATTACTATCGTGCTAACTTTTGCGCCCGATTCGATGTTTTTTTATTTATTTGTATTTTTTTTATTGTATTTTTATGTGAATATACAGTTGTAGCTGAATCGCAATATGGTTACTGAACTACTAGTTAATACAGCTAAAAGGCCAGTTTATCTCTCCAAATGTCCATTTCTGTTTTGAATACTGAAATAATTTAGACATGTACTGATGGAATCTAACAGTTTATATATTTTTTTAATCTGGGAATAGTAAGAATTATACATTGGCCGCTTTTGATGCTTCGTTTATATTCAACACTCCTCGCTTGCTCTTTTGGGAAGCTTGATCACACGACTCCGGAAACACTTCGCAAGGCATTCCAACTTATAAAGGCACTACTACCTTCTTATATTTCATTTGCAACAAGGACGAGAATATCCAAAGCAATATGAAATATCGTTCGAAAATCTGAAAATTTCGGAATGAGGATAGCAATGTAAAGTCTTGTTTGCTCCGTAGTTGACATTCAACTTGACGTTTTAATTTAAATTTTAATGATAGGAAGCGGGTTGGAAAGATTAGATGATAAGATGTTCTGCGCATATCTTGCGAATACGTATTTTAAATTTTAAATGAAAAAATAAACTCCGCAACAAGTTAACTCCATCTACTTATTTTCAAAATTCACCACCCTTTTGTGAGTCAACCCCAAAAATGTTTTTAGTTTTGAAAAAGTATTTTCTTTCGGTCAACATTAATTTAAAGCTCATCCAATAAATTATTTCATAATACAAAGCTAATATGCTTGACACTGATCACATATGGTATGAACTATAAAATGAGTTTAGTCATTAGTAGATTATTAGATATCGAATTAAATTGATGTCAAAGACCAAGCATACTCAGTGAGGTTCTTCCGTCGGCTGTAACGGCGGCGCTATTAATTAAACCGTAACGAAGTCTATTTATTTATAAGAATGAGATGATTTAGTGGATTTTCTAGTTTTTATAATACATTATGTATCGCAAACTACAAATAGGCGATGGTAAATTGATTTTTAAGATGAAAATTTGTAAGCAGAGTTTAAAAGCGATCGCGAATGAAAGGAGAAAGAAACCAATGCTTCTTTAGAAGATGTATATAAATATGTATATAAATTAATGTTGACAATATGTGGATTGTGTGTTCAGATTAATATAACTTGTAGCGAACGAGGCTCGAATTGAAATGGATTTGAGTATCAAATCTAACAACAGTCGTAATAACATCAATCAAATATTCAATGATTTTGACTTTTCTGGAAATTTTTCATTTTTGTATACCAATGTTGATGTTGGTAGACTATTTTCACGCTTATCTAATCGTACTGTCGATGATTTTGATTCAGTTGCAAGAATGGGAAGTGGAGATCGTCCACCAGCACTATGTCGACAACATCCATTTCAGTCCCATCATTCATCAACCACTGGCTTGCCGTGGTTTGATTCAAATGGTACATCGGTAACCTCCAGTAGCACTGGACTGCTGGCCCATTTCCCGAAATCGATCACACAAACACCATGGGAACAAAATGACAAATATTCTGCCGAATACACCAACCCAGTATCATCGAGTGCAAGTGATATTTCGCAATCGACAACACTGGAGAACGCCTCCTCCTTGCCTCAAGGTAGCTGTGCCGAAAGACCGCCAGAATCGGCAATCAGTTGTCCAACTCCCGGTGTGAGATCAAATGACCCTAACACGCCAGGACCAAACTCTGTAAGCAACAGTAACGGTACATCGTGCAATACTTCGAGTGGAATGCAGTTTTCTGCTTTTCCCACTCCGCCCAAAGAAGATACTGAAGTGTCTAACTTGTCAGTAAATTCCAACTCCGCGCACAATATGCCGCAGAATTTGACGCCGACGGCTTCTGAACATTCTACATCCTCAACCCCCAGGGAGCACGACATGACAACTGGGAGACACTCAAGTCATAATGGGCAGTCACTCACACACCCGCAGCAATACCCCGCAAACCAGACGTCACCACCACATCACCAACAGGGGCAGATGCCTCCGATCCACTCCCAGCAACAACCACAACATATCAACTCACTGAGCAAACTCAGTCAGGGAATGGAAACAACACTAAGGAGCATATCGGGGTCAGCGTCTGCAGGAGGCATCTTGCCCTATTCACATCATCCTTATATCAGCCCGGGTGTAGGAGAATACGTCAGCGGCGGCACAGGCTTCCAGGGCCCGCAATCGATGTTTAGCCATGGATCGTCCGCCTCATCTTACCTGTCAAAATCAAAATGCAAGACAAGGTCGTGCACAGGTACGCTTTATTATTTCATTGATCTGTAGTTTCTGATGTTAGGCTAAAATGATTCTAAATCGGAGCAAGATGAGTCGAGATATCGGAACTTGTATTAATAATGTTCCAGCATATGGGTAGTTGTCTTTGAATTGGCTGTGTCAAAGGATTAGGAATTTTGTAAAAAAAAAATATCAGATGAATTATCTTTATGTGACTTTTATGATTGAATACAGAGAAATTGTAGAGTCATTCGGTCATATCTAAAGTAAATTTCAATATTTGGTACATTAACAGTCAATCAGACAACTCACTTTTGCTTCTGCAGGAAAAGCCTTAGCGGATGACCAATCTTAATTGCATTGAAGCTTAAAATAGCTTTTCAATGAAATTTGATTTGAATACAACTCTTTTTCAAATGTATACACTAATTAATTGGTGCACAATTGTTATTTTTTCATTCCCATACCGAGAAACAACTGTAATTGGTAAGCTCTTTAACATCGCCATTTAAGCTTGAGTCTCATCAAATTTCAAGATGACATTTTTCTGCGAATATCACAAACATTACGTTCCACGATTATTTCTTTTTATTGAAAACAGACAAAAACTATCACTCGTTTCATCCTATAACGTGCGTAGAAAGAACTATAACAAACAAAAATAGTTATGAAAATTTTGATCAAGATCAGGCATGCACCGTAGATGAAACATACATTACAGATATGTTCATATAGGGTCCATACTTGTTTAATATCATGCCCGATAAACTGTATTTATACGCTAAATCACGCAATGACCCCTTTACGTCTGCAATGTTCTTGGAACGCACCAACAAGGAAACGTAGCTCCAGATTTTCGTAGAAACGATAGTAAAAATTAAGGTTAGGGAAAGTATAATGAATAATACGTCTACACGAAGACAGCTTCCTTCCCATACAAGCGACTGTTGTACTTGTATAGCCATCTCCATTTTCTGCCATCCTGTGTTTCGCGACACTCAAGTCGATAATTTAAGACGGAACGGAAGCTTTTCATATGAGTTAATAAAGGGCACAGAAATTTGTAGCCTCGGGAGGAAATAAATTTAGAAGAATGTAATATAAATTGGCTTGAATATATCAAAACACGAAAGAAAAAAAATCACAATTTTCTTGTATGCGTGAGATTTAAATTGATTGATATTGGCATTCCATTCAAAATAATTTACATCTCGATCTTTCGCCCATTATCACAATAATAATTAATATCCAATCATAAATACTCGTAGTCGGCGATTTTTTATCAACCTCGTGATAAATATGCTCATGGTTGCCTTTTTTTCGAGCAAAAATATTATACTATTTGTCCCTGTTTGCAAATGATGTGAACCGATACGGTACAGCGCCCTGCACACAGGCATATTACCGCGTTGCGGTACGCACTTCCTTTCCTGTATATACCATTTGAAATTTTATAATTATACAATATACTAAACTAAATATAATAAATTAAATTTACAAAATCCTTAGATATCTTATTTCTACCAATCGGCGGAAACCTTGAAAAGGAAAGGCATAGATGACACATTCATTGCGTATGCTTTGATAGAATGGTGCAGGCAACTCGATTTGTGATATCTGACTGTATTCAAAAAATATCTTTGGCCGTCTTGAGCAAATCGACAGGAAACGGACTTGCAGTGAACGCAAGTGATAAAAGGAACATTCAAGGCGTTACTATACTTTAACCTTTTAATGTTGGAAACCGTTTTAATCTGCCATATCGTAGTTTTTGGATTCAATTCGATCCATCGGGCCCCGTTTATCTATAATGAAAGCCCGTATTATTGAACAGATTTTCAGAAAAACATCTTGGATGTTCACTCTCGTGGATGTGCTACAAAACATGCCCATTAAAACCGCGGATAGCATCAATGAACATTACATTACTAAGAGTACATAATGTTATGAAAAATACTATTTATTTGTTTTACAGAAGGACGAGAATGTGTAAACTGCGGTGCAACATCGACTCCGTTGTGGCGAAGGGATGGTACTGGACATTACCTTTGCAATGCATGTGGACTTTATCATAAAATGAACGGACAAAACAGACCACTCATCAAACCAAAGAAACGTTTGGTAATTAAACTTTTAACTTAAATTTGTTTCAAATAAGTTATATAAACTGAAAATGTCGAACTGGTCACCAGCTATGTATGCAGCTATCAAATACTGTTTGAAAGATATTACTTTGATTTAGTTAACTTGATCATCGAGTTATTGCCTTATATGGGAACTTTTTATGTCGGGTTGAATTTCGTTATAAAATAAACAAAATGTTTTGGTGAATTGTCGATCTCAATGCACTCAGGATTCGACAACATGCCGATGCGACATGCCTAATTAGGATACAGATCAAATTTGTTTGTGGCTATTTCTGGCTTTCAATCCACACGTCATTTGGAGACGAATACATGGAACATAATTTAACGTTGTTTTTCCTTCATCCAAAGCTTATTGTTTCTACAACCCGCCATAAGGAGTTTGATTGCTATACTTTGGCCGTGCGACAAAGATTTGTTTATCAGAATATTCATTCATTAAAACAATATTGAAACGGTGTCAATTGTCCTGCTCGTAAAGAACTTTCCTTTCCTATATTTAGTTTTCGGAATACTTCATAATGAGAAAAAAAACTTTTACAATTCGGTCATGTCCTGAATATGATAAAAGATCATAATAATAGATGACAATAAACCAAGCATTTTGCAAAAGTAACAAGTTTTTTTTTCGTGAAATTTTCATTTTCTTACGATTGTTTCGTTTCAATCATGATGCCAATTGGGACGGCATAGATGTCGATATTAGAATTACAGCTGTTGCGATCTTTGCTACGGGTTTTCTACTAAATGGGAATGGATAAATAAGTATAACTATGAGGCCAAATTTTAATTTCTTCGATTATCAAACACCTTGTTAAAATGCTCACTTTACTTTCTTATCTTGATTGTTACGGCATTACAATTTTCGTTTGGTACCTCTGTCGATAATAATACATTGCGAGTCTGGGACAACCTCATTGATTTGTGTTTTGATTACCATTTAGGGAAAATATCATCCCCTATGCCTTTGTAAGTCCACAAAAACAGTAGCAACAATATCGTTCCTATTTCGCCTGTTTACTGCTGTTAAGAGCGTCTTCTCGTCTCTGAAAACTTCCGAAATGATCTTTGATTATGAGACCCTTGGCCGCCCAAACACGAGAGTATTTCTCTGAATCGACATCCAACTCCAGACTTAATAGTTTAAAAATGGTAAAGAAATTTCAAGTGGCAAATAATTGAACCAATTCAATGTGATTTGGTCTCGAAATCAGGGTCACGTGTGGGGCGAGACCAACGAAGTTTAATTTGTCACTTTTGGGTCGAAGGTTGAAACTGACGCAGCCAGACGTCATTTGCGTAAATCAAGCGACGTTATAATTCACCGCTTCTCAATGTCAACCGATTTTTACTAATTCGTATCAATGGACTATAATAAATTGCAATTTTGTTTATTTAAATATATATCATTTAACGTAGGTTTAATAGTTTCCACAAACAAATTTTTCTGTACCGTTCTTGATTGTGCGTTTAGTCGGTGAATAAGATATCCAGCTAATCTGACTCGGTCACTTCGATTAAATACGAAAATCAAAAAATCCATACCAGAAGTGCCGTATCAAATCTGAGTGACGGCCGATGGTATCATTATGACTGATTGAGTGAACGAACAATAAGAGATGTACGTAGAATACCAACAATGTATGTTACGTTTTGACTATTTCTGATGTGAGTTTATGAACAGCTGTAAAATGAAAAAAAAAATTGGATACGAAAATGCAGAAAAGCGGTAACTACTACTCGCTATGAATTTTAGAAACTTAGACCTAAACCCCAGATTTTCTAACAATGAGTACATAATTTACAATCTGGATTAGATGTTGTACACTGAATGTTTCAAGAATCTGTCGTATTTGAATCATTTTTCCGCGATTCCGAAATTCATTCTCAGTAAATATCAATTTATATAAATAAAGGAATTAAAATATACCTCTTATGATATGAATGATATATGTATATTGATTAAAATTATTATAGAACGATGAAGTAATGACGCGATATCAATGGATAGAATTCGATTTGAAGTTTCATTTTTACGTCACGCGCAAACTTCAATGTGTTCATTTGACTCGAATATTCTAACGAAAACTTTTGCTAATCCTTTTGTGTTTAATTCGGATTCAATTCATTATAAGAGATAATTGGTATGGCTGTAATGATTACAACATTTACTTAAATGTTCTATTTCAGGTTCACATGTTTAGATATCGATTTTATGTTAAACGCAGGGCCTTTTTGTCTAATCTGAGCACATAAAATAGATGAAGCCGGTATCTCCTATTCTAGTAGGCATATCTGTTTTTCATTATTATACTCTAATAATGGTTGTACTATGCTACATGTTAAGTGCATATAAGTCGTAACTACATGCACATCTTTGACCAACTCAATCTAATACATATATTTTCGTCACCCTTATCGGCCGACTTATCAAGCCACACTTCGAGTCATAAAAATTTAAGCATTTGTCAAATTTCTGCAAAACCTGGCGTAATATTTACAGTAAATGGGCTTTCACGGCTTCTTAGTGAGGACGAAAAGATAAGTCACAATCTCTATTCAATATCTCAACCTCGTGCCCATATTCGTAAACAGTTTTCTTATCGCATATCTCCGCCTGATTTAATGCGCCGGACGAAGACAGGTAGAAACCTGCGCTGAGTGGTCTTCTCATAAATAATTCTTGTGTTCAAAAATGAGAAACATATGAGCACCTAGTACCCATGTCGGCGGTGTAAATATTTCAAATAAAAAGACTGGGAAATTATTCATGTCGCAAGAAACAATGAACACATATTATATACAGTGTAAAAATGGGTCATCGAGATGTTGTTTACGTATAAATCGGAAATTTTCAAAACTTGCATATTTGCATAAACTTACATTACCAATCACCATTACATAAAACATTATAAACATTTCTTGAAAAGCGCTGTATTGACACTTAAATAATATATATAATGAGTCAATATCCGCCGGCACCGTTTCCGAAAACTCTATCTTGGTTGTAAGCCTATTTTGCAGCGTAATCTTTACAGATTGCTTGTATTTTATGAGGACATGAACCCGTTTCGGACGTTCGCTTTATGCAGTGGTTGTGTCAAATTATAACAACGGGTTTGTCGGACTGTCAGTATAAATCTTTCATAGAGCAATAAATAATACAGATAGATGTCATTGTGTTCTTTAAAATGGGAATATTCGTATGGTTGTTTGCGTAAATAAAATTAAGAAAATCAAAATTCGTCATGTTGTATTAAACAGAACAAAACGTTTTACATCATTTCAGCCTTGGCCAATGGCCTATACAAGAATTTTTTATGCAAGACTATATAGTTTTATAATTTGCCTAATAGCAGTATTCAGATTAGTGTAGAGCGCATAACGGGTAGTCCGAATGCCAACTCAATTTCCAAACGTCAACAACCCCTCGTTTTCATTTGTTGATTAGCGTAAGAATGCATTACGGTTTATCTAGATTTGAGAGTACATGCATGGGAGATTACTTATGATCCTTAAATTAGGACCAAAACTAGAAGACTTCATTGCGGATGAGTAATGACTGCATTCCTCATTTGACCGAGAGGGAGATAATACACGCTCTTGCGCGTGCCTCTTTCGCGATAAGACACACGTTATACCATATCTCTAGTCGAAAGTGCAATAAGTTGTAACGCAAGCATATCGCATATCCCCGGTCACTTCCGACGTGACATAAATTCGCTCGGAATGTAGAATGGGTGAAATAAATTATAAATGGTGATGTCATTGAAAGAAGTTACTTAAAACAAGTTTGGAGATAAAAGAAAATATGTCAACGTGAAACAGTGATACATTTATGTGTTATAATATACTGTTCAAGTAATATAATTTAGTAGCATGGCGTTGTAGTTAGCTGAGCAACTGACAACTGAGCTGAATTTAACGCAATGCTCTGTCTCGTTCGAAGTCATCTCGTGATTGTGCGCTAGATCCTACATGACTTAGTGAATCATTATAGCCAACAACTAAGGCCAAGTGTCTGGTGCGATGTTCGAAACAAAGCCAATTTAACGTTAATTGACAAGGAAACATATATCCACTCACATTGTCGAAGTAACGTTACGCCGCGAGACGCTGAACGTATTGAAAAACAAAATGGCGGATGCCGACCAAAAACAAATCAAGCGAAACCCGCGCTTTTCAAGACGGACACGTTTGTGTTTACTGAAAATCTATAAAGCGCCTTTGAATTTGCTCTTGTTCGCCGCATATTATATATACACACACAAGATTGTCTGAGTGTCAAGGCATTGTTGATGTCCATTTAACGATCTATTCAACAAAAAGTGTGCAATGAAAATATAATATCAAGTGTATAATATATGTAATATAGTCAACAACACAATGCCCATCTTTGATTTTGATATACTAACAAGGGTTGAAAAATGTCCCTGGGCCCCGGTAATAAATATAAACCATATTGGGTATGTTCAAAAATATACAAAATAAAAGCGATATATGCGAAGAAACGGAACGTTGATACGCATTTTGAATCTTACAAAACATTCTCATCACTCGAAAACCCTGAGAACATTTATTTAGAAAACAACAATGTTGGACGCAAATAATTTAATAATCCATGATATCACGTCTCAAAATAATATCTTAGACATATTTCCCTCCAGCGTTTAATCGATGTAGTTTATGATTTGTGCGACGAAACACAAAACAAACTAAAATTGAACTGACGCCGAGTGAATTGATATGGTTTTAAAGTTTGTTGTCGGACAATTTCTCGCGTAAGTACGACCTTTTCCCACCCTGGTACAGATTTTATTTACGCCTTTAAATAATAGTTTTTTTTTTTCAATTAAAAATAAAGTCGAATCAAATAATACCTGGTTTGCATGAATAGTGGATGTTAGAGTAATAAATTACATTGTGAACTGGAAATATTAAGTGGCCAAACGAATGAAAAAGAATAATTCGATGTGTGTTTACAACAGAAAATAACCATGAAAAATCAAACGAAAAAAGTTACCAGTACAATCCATTTTTACGGGACTTACTTTCCAATGCACAGGTAATGCCATCAGGTCATTATTACTATTCCAATTTATATAAATAAAAATTGAGCGTCGATTCTAGAAGGTTCCCCTTTACCAAATCAGTAGAACGCGTTGTGCGTAACTTCCTACTATTAATCCGCTTATCTTAGATATATCCGTATTTATACCAACAACGTATTCTTTCTGTAATGGCTCTTGCATCTGCCTTTAATCCGTTGTCTGATGTAGCTCAGTTCGACTTTGAAGGCGGTTGGATGATGGAATGAACGTGTTTGTTATGACAAAATTTCACGATGGCCTTGTACGTGTTTGCTTGTATTGCGTACAACCATGGCTAAACAACAACTCGTTTTTTTTTTAATGAAAATTTAATGACAATATGATCAAGCAGTGTACATGGAATGAGCGCTTCGTGTAAGAGCCCATGCTTGGAAAGTCAAAATTTTGATCCTTAAATTGGTCGCCGCCTGTCAACGATGTCTCCGTTATCTTGACTTATCATCGCTAAATCGGCGTCATTTTGTAGGCAACGAGTTTTTTACTTTATTATATTTTAAAACATGATATAGTTTCTCTTATATTTCTTTGACATTTTTCATTAAAGAGGTTGCCGTTGACCGCGCGGTCTGCGCGAAAGAAGATTCGTGTGTGCCCTTCTCCCCGTGTCTAAATGTTTATGCACAAATAAATACAAATCCATGTTAATTGTCATCAACCAAATCAGTCAGGTGCGGGTCTCTATTGATCTCCGCTTTCTCGTTGAACTTTTGCTTGCCTTGTGACGCCACTACTTTGGAAACATTTAAACAAAAACTGAGAATTAATAAGAGGCTTTTCCAATAACATGACTATATTTACAAGAATTTTACTTTTAACTTTTGTGTCAATCAAAATAGGCTTGTAATGCCAAGCGTTAACTGAAATGGAAGAAAGTAACTTTAGTCTGTGAAACAAAACTTCAGTCGTTCAATAAATCAAAGGAAACGTACATTCGAATTCAGTAAAAATACAATCATATATATCTCAGCTTTGGCTTTGTATTCAATTCCAAGCAATTCATATCATGTAATGAGAGCAAACAATCAATGATCAAAAATGCCACATACATAGCGTCTATCTGGAAAAAAACTAAATTGTGAAATTTAATTAACAGTAGGCTACGGTATTTGTAAGTATTTTACAATAAAAGTCGTTTTCCTTGAAAACATTGTTCACAGACCGGAATATCCAAATTGATATATTTACCACAATTACTGATTGTCTATGATCTGTGCTCTGATTCATATTTTTGGAAAATATCTATATCATTTCGGCTAAATTATAGACTATCGTGGTATAAAAATAAACTTGAAAATTGAGCATCACGTTTAAAGGCACATAGGAAAGAGCTTATAACCAATGGTTTGATTGATATTTTTACAGTTACATTGCAGTTCTTATAGCGACCCACTATGTTAGCACAAATGTCCGTTTTTTATAACTTTTATCCAGTAAAGAGGATAGGTTTGTCGTAAGACTTGTTTTCATCCAGAGAACGCCTCGGCCTCCGTTTGCTGAATTTCTTCTGTGTGAATCTATACATTTACAATTTATCTTTATAGACAAAAAATGTGATTGGTGGCAAGATTGGACAGAGCTGGGGCAATCTGTTACATGTGAACCAATGCATTATAAACGATCACATATTCGACACCTTCAAAAAGTAAATCTATATTTTTCTTACAGTCCGCTGCCAGAAGAGCTGGAACAAGTTGCAGCAACTGCTCAACAACTACCACAACGTTATGGAGAAGAAATGCAAACGGTGATCCTGTCTGTAATGCATGTGGACTGTACTATAAACTACACGGAGTATGTTGTGGAATATTGTTTAACTCATTGAGTATCATAATATAAATGTATATTCATTTAAAAATATATTTATATTTTAGGTGAATCGCCCTCTGACAATGAAGAAAGAAGGAATCCAAACGAGGAATCGCAAAATTTCGACGAAATTGAAAAAATCTTCGATGTGCCGGGATCCCCGCTTTGACGGAAATTTCAAATTTCTTGACAAGGGAGCATTAGGTGGCTCTGCTTATTCCCCCGGGTCTTTTGGACCGATGCATTCCCTCGGAGGCATCCCACATCACCCACATCACCATATGCCCCACCACCTGGCCGGTTCCAGTTTCGGTGGCGCTTCCCATCATGTGTTGCCACCCGGTGCACACCACCCCATGCACCACACATCCCACCCCACCGCTGGACCGGCTTCTGGGAGTTTGGCACTAGGTTTGAATCACTCCAACATGGTTCACGCATTAGGGTGAATTTTCAATTAAAAACCGAAAACCAATGTGGCAATGCCCAATACGAATTTTGACCGGGATTTTCCAAAGCAATCAGCCATGACGATTACGTCACTACCGTGTGAAGCAACGACCATGACAATAGTAAACTTTTCCCATGATGACGTCAGTGTATTTTTTTATCTTGTTTGGAGAGTTAGTTTTGTTTTTATTTTTGCTCTTTAGTTGTATCTATAGCCGACCAACGCTTTATAATGCGCTTTTTGTGTGAAAATTGTAGTTTTTTTTTTATTTTACGAATATTGCCGCAAAAGAGTTCCTTTTTGTCTATTTTGTATTGTATTTGGTGCTAGACACTTCTACATAACTTCCAACCAAGAGTATTTTCCATACGCGCCTGTATTCTAAATTATTAAATACTCAAATTTGAAGAAGCTCAAACTATCCAGTTGTATGGATTGATTGAATCATGTTACGGACGTTTTTAACTACAGAGAATAGTCCGGTAATGTAATATTATAATATCGAATGTACCAACATGCATCTTCGAATTATATAATGTCGGAGGATTTTTCATATTTATTCCAGCGGACAAGAAACGAAAGATAAAAAAAAATTTTTAATAGTAATTATAATATTATTGTTTTTGCTTAAAAATTACTTGACGGTAAAGAAATCTCTTGTAAATCCCAATGTAATAGTTGTAAGACACTCAATATATCCAAAGTCAATCTATTACTTTTCTAGAAAAAGAATCACCCCGAACATATATGAAAGTCAAACAGAACTTATTAAGAAACATATCTGATTCCAATGATTCGCTATTTTTATTACAAAATGATTCTGCAGAATACTATTTGTTTTTATTTCTAGTAACATAATACAAAGGCCATTGGACGTGGCAACATTAAATGGTGTCTCGTTTTCATAACGTGAAGCATTGATTGATTGAAGTATATTTAAGATGCCTTGAGCTGATTATTTCCATTACACCAAGTTGCATTCACGTTTAATCACGTCCAACCAGGATATTTTGATGATTTGCAGAGATAGTAAAGTAGACTGGGCGTCTGATATAGAGTTTGATACGCTATGGATTCAAGGTTTAGAACCTCGCGTTTTTGTCAGGTTAAAGAATAGCTAGTGTTTGAGGCATTCGTTTAAAATTTGTTTTAGAAAAACACGATGACGATTGTTGATGTTCCATTTTTAGCTATAACCTACAAAAAATTATGATTGCGATAGAAAATTGAATAGATTTTGTACAACACGTTATCGACGTCATCAAGCGCTTCAAATTCACTACATATAATTTATTTACAAATGGCATAAAAAGGTTAAATCTGGCACTACCGAAAGTAGTAATAACGGCAATTCAGATTGCGAGTTTTGTGAAGTTATTTTTTCTTCTCAAATTGATGAAATTTGCAATTTAGTATTGCGGAGTCAAAACAAAATACCGATATGACGAGTCCATATAATTTCACTCTTCCGCCGACGCTTTTTAAATAAATTTGTGTTCGAATATTAGATGCTTATCAAAACCCTGCGGCATCATGAAATTATGGGAACTCAGATACGACGATTGCCCTGATCCGCGTGACGACCAGGCGAACAAAGGACCTTTTTAAACCAATAAATTTGCTTCAAATCATGGAGTAACAACGACATTCACGTTGTCACATAAAAATCAACAGCTCATTCGTTAAAGTGAATAAAAAGCAATAAGAACTTGAAAGGTCAAACAAGAAAGAGAATAATAGCATATTAATATAAGGAAAGTTGGAAACTGATATGTCGCGGCAATTGGTATTCCAATCTGTCTATCCAAAAACTGAGGTTTCGTTTATAATGCATTTTTTGGTTTTGGTTTCGTGTTCATATTTTTTGTCCATTTTGGATAGTTATTGAAAGAGTGCCATTGCTTGTTTACTGCACATTGAGTTATATATTTAATAAGTCCATATATATATCAAGCAGCATTTTTAACAAGGCATGAAAACCCGTCAATCTTTCACCAATAGTGCAATCGGAAATATAATCTTATTTCCAACTAACAAGGATATGGAATTAATCATACCAATAACTCCTGGCAAAACATATGCTTTGGACTTTATAAGAGTAAGATATAATTCACAGGAGTCAATGTGAACGGTCGCCTCGTCACTTGGTTAGACATGTTATGGACTCTTAATCGCGTACCACACTTTTTAAAATTATTGTTACGCCATTACGTGGTCGGTGTTGCTGTCTCTTTAAGACTGCTTGGTGAAATTACATTCCCATTACTGAGGGTGCGACGAAATAAATAATCAAGTTGGAAATTTACCGATATGTTTATGTTTTTCAGATAAACATGTTTTTATTGTTTTAGCATAGAAGCACCAAGATGAAAAATATGAGCTACACTTGAAGGTGCTTTTGAAAATGAATAGAAATCAACTGAAGGGGGATTGTTTTCCAGTAAAATGATAACCTCGGAAAAAAAAAATTATGGAAGAGAGGAAAGCCGATAAGACGGATTAATCATATAGCGAACCACAGCCTCTTGTCCGGTTGCCAGTTTCATGTTGGGTATGGGATTAGTTAGCCAGTGATTTGCCTCAAATGCATGGATTTGACGATGGAGGAAGCCCTAACCGCCCAGGGGTTACGCCAATCACCATGCCGCGGTGGCGAGGAGTCCAGCAATCCCCTCGCACATAAGTATTCCCCGCGGGATGTGAACCCACACAGGGTAATCATAGGTGCAATGGCGAGCATTCCCAACGTAGAACACGATGCGACACACTGCCGAGCTTGCTTTGCTTCGAACAAAGCTTTTTGATGTAATTTAGGCTATTATAACACGGTATGACGGCTTGAGCAAAAATCACCTCTGCCTGGTCCCCAATACACGATCGACACCGCCCCCTGTAAAATCTCCAAATACGCCCTCTCCGTACAGATGCGAAATGCTCGGAAGTTTTCAGCGTCATAACGTATTTCTTTTATCAAAAGGATAAGAAAATGTCGAAATGTAGCTATATAATTTACGCAACAACATTTATTATATTGTTTCGGATCACTTTTATCCTAACCCCTTTATTTTAAAAAATGAGGTGATAATTTTATTTGTCAGTGGTGTTTTGTTTAATAATAATTGGGCCAAACTTCGGATAGTTCCGAAGCGTTCGGTGTAGGCACAACAGGATCCAACAAACAATTTAAGTTCATAGCATATTTGATCAAAAAAAAAATCATTTATTTCCGATTGCAAAATTAATGCACAGTTGTAGCCAGCGCCCGTATTACATTATCTTTATCAATGATCATTCAAGCACATGCGTAGGCAGGAGGCCCAAGGCTGAGCAATCTTTTTTTTTACGTGTCGTCAAGACATGGTTGCGGTCGGCGATGACCTCTGATCGCCTTCCATATTTGTGTGTTGTTTATTGTCATCGTGAAAGAATTAACGAAGAGAACAATCGTATAGTTACTAGATAGCAAATCACATATCGCTACTTGTTTGGGCATCGCAGATCACACATACAAGTTAGATCTCCAGCGCCTCCAGTGTTTATTTCTTTATAGCTGACAAGTATTGCACCACTACTTTTGTAATCTTCATAACTGTCTCCTTTCATTGCTCGCATTGGCTGGTGCAATTTGCTAATTTTTATATCTTTAGTGTAACATCCCGCGTTAGGACTGAAATTGTCCCCAGTGTTTATTTCTTTATAGCTGACAAGTATTGCACCACTACTTTTGTAATCTTCACAACTGTCTCATTTCATTGCTCGTATTGACTGGGGCAATTTGCTCATTTTTATATCTTTAGTGTAACCTTCCGCTTTAGGACTGAAACTGTGAAATGCCTACAGCTAATTTGCTTCTGCAATGCGTTACTGGTATGGTAACGGGGATAACATTGAGAGGATCGTCTGGACATAGCCTATATTGATGCATTGTGATAGCGTTTAGACTGGGAAATATTGACGCGCGGTTCAGCCCCCTTCGCCTTTGTGTAGCAAGCAGGGTGCATAATGCCATACCCCGTCATGCTTCTACACCCCACGTCACCAAGATGTAATAAATTCGGTAGGCCAAGCCGAACCCGAAAAAAGCCGGTCCTTCCAAATAAATAGCATATTCTTACATATTCTTAGATATCAGTGGCTTCTTGTTCGTAGTCGCGAGTAGGCATCAAATTGAAAAAAAAATCTTCCCCCAGTTTTGGGCTGGATTTTTTCTTGCATTCGGATTTCATTTATATACTTCTTCACAAATCAACTACATTCCTTCTTGTTGGTCTAACATTCATGGCCTGAAACGCCATAGAGGTTGTCTCTGAATCGATCAGTATCTGTTATGCAAGTAGCCTACATACCCCACTTCCGCGAATCACCTATAGGTCCGTGCATAGAGTATATTTGCCAGTGCTACTGAGATTGTACTAAATTTGCCATATCGAAATCGAAAAGAATATATTTGAGTACGTACATACAACTTGAATCCGCACTGCAAACTCTTTTCTACTGAGTACTGACTAACGAAATGTTACGTCGCGTCACATTACATAATATTATGATGGGCTCTTTTTCTTCAATGCTTTGCTCTTTTATTAACTTATAAATACCAATTGATACGAATATCTCTAATATCTCAAAACTTAAACATTCTAGTTCATACATATTGGGAATTGGTCAAACACCGCGGACAAATATTATATATAGCCTACATATAAAATTAATCACCAGATAATCACAAATATTTTACTTCAAAAGCAGGCGAAAATAATTTGTAATTAACACATTCCCCATTACTGTTGGAAGGCGATTTATTGGTGTGACCAAAGTAATATGACAACGGGGAGTCGGGATAATAGAAGGTTAAGAACCTTTGCTCCAGTCAGTAAATGCTATTGAAGAACTAGAATTTACCTTCCTGTTTTGCTGATCACATTGATTTAAACTTGCGTAATACATCGCTTTAGTCCCACTTGACTTTAGAATTGGCATTTCGGTCTTTGCATGAAGGTGAATCTTCTTCATTACCGAATTGCAAATTTTTGAGTAAAGTAGAAAAGACATGCAAACGCCAAAATATTAGTAATCTCTATTATAATCTTCTATTATTCAAGTTTCGAAATTAAATGATTTAGAACCCTGAAACCTGATTTAGAAACCTGCACCTGCATTAATCCTAGTCGATATTTGAATTTTTGAGTCAATTGCAACTTTTTATTCTGTAAAACTGCCCACACGTGACACTAATATACTAAGAGAAAAAATCTCTATTTGATATACATACTAGTTCTTGTATAAATTATCCGCCATGTTCTCGGTCGATTGATAAATGTTTTGAAGTTCATTGGTTGTCACGAGCTGTCCCTCCGTGGGCTCCTCTAATAGAGGGGTATTTTTGGATATGGTGGAATACACCGCATCCCTAGATACAGTATTGAGAGATCATCTTGATGCCGCAACTGTTTCGAAAGGGACATCTAAGGATATCCAAAATGATTTGCTCGACTCAATATATAAAATTTATTTACAACATTTGGCTCTGGAAATTGAGAATTGCCAGTTCCTATCGATTCAGTCTGACGAGACAACTGACATCACGTGCGTTTCACAACTGGCTGTGATTTTTCGGTTTGTGAAAGATGGTAAACCTACCGAGAGATTTCACAGCTTTGTACCAATCGTTGATCGCACGGCTTGCGGGATATCGGCTGTACTGAAAGAAGTGTTACAGCCTTACAACGCGAAGTCAGAATTGATAGCTCAAACTTATGACGGCGCGGCAGTCATGAGTGGGTCGAAACATGGTGTTCAAGTTTATATAAAAGAAGATTTTCCTCATGCGCATTTTTTACATTGTTATGCACACCAATTTAACCTCGTTATTAAAAATATGTGTCTTGATACCCCTCTCGTTCGTATATTTTTTGCAAATGTTTCGGGGTTTTCTTCATTTTTTTCCGTTTCGCCGAAGCGCTCTGACCTCCTCCGCCAGATATGTAGCCGCCGTCTCCCAGCTTGTGCACCAACACGTTGGAACTTCCAATCACGCGTGGTGCAGGGCGTGTCCGAAATTAGGTCTGAGCCAATTGAGTGTTTCAATGGCATTCAGAGCTCTCCGGTTTGGGACGAACGCTCTGTGATGGAGGCGGCAGGTCTAAAGCGTCTGCTAGAAGATGGTGAGTTTTCATTTTTTCTCGCTTTTTTCTCCACAATATTCTATCACGTGGATGTATTATACGGCGCATTGCAGTCAAGGCTAATGGATGGAGCGTCTGTGCAGTCGTGTATTTCAGACTTCTGCGATGCTGTATCTCGTATCCGGGAAACAATAAATTACGACGACACATGGAGTGCTTCTTTACGCCGCGGGCAAACAACGCAGCGTTTGATTTTGTCTGCAAAGGAATGCTGTGACATTCTGGTGAATCAAATAGGCGATCGTCTGCGCACTGAACACCTTGCCGCGTTCTCTTTGATGAACCCCAAAAATTTTTCAAAATTTGCACGTCAATTTCCCATCCATTTGTTGGCTACTGTCTCCAAATTTTACCCCATGATAAACGTGGGTAAATTGGAAAATGAATTGCGATGTATATACACCAATCAAACTTTTTTGAACATCACATCAACTTGCGCGCTCTATGGGTTCCTCATAGATAACACTCTAGTAACTACCTTTGCGGCGTCTGCAAAATTTCTGGACATCATTTTGACGACGCCTATTTCTTCTGCCGACGCAGAGCGAACATTCAGCTCGCTGAAGCGTATTAAAACGTATCTCAGAAACACAATGAAGCAAGATAGATTAAATTCCTTGGCTGTTTTATCCATTCACAGAGACGTTATTTCTGGGATGCATGACTTTAATCAGCGCGTTATTGAGCATTTTGCTTCCAAGAAACCGCGGCGTGTTGCATATATGTTCAAGCAGTAGAAGTCTAGCAGCATATATATCTATGAGTGAGCGACGCATGTCCTTATCTTTGCATTACCTTTACTTTCTTCATAGTAACGTTTTAAACCTTATTTTAGATTTTGTCTGCTTTCCCGAAGTTTCTGTTATTATGTCATTGTATTTATCTGGGTAAATATTGCCTTTCCTTTTGAAAGAGGTTTCAAAATAAACTATGTCTATATTTATTAATCCCTTGACTTGGACCGGTTTTAAGGAGTTTTGGAAGTTCCTAACTGCGTGTTCTATTCTTTTTTGTATACTCTTGCAATCCCGATCAGGTTCTTTCTATATCACGCAATATCTCGGTTGCCGAATGCCCATATATTGTAAAGTTTACAATCGAATTGAAATAAATGAAATTGCAATTAAAAATTTCATGTAATCAAACTACAACTATATAAAAGCAATATATTAAGAGGCAAATTGTTGTGCGCGGCCGGGATCAATTGATCCGACTTTAATTCGGAAAGCCCTGCATGAGAGCTCGATGTGGTAAATTAGTATGAGAGAAGGCATTGTGCTTTGACTCGGTTTTGTATCAATAAAACACATGTTATTAGCATTCGGTGGTTATAAGCAGTGCTGAATTTACCATTAGGCAAAGTGGGGGTAAGGGCCTCGACATTCGAATCAATTTTGAGTCTTTTTGAGTTTTGAAATAGCATTTATTTGTTTTTTTAATTAATCGGTTTAATACTTCTTGTTTCAAAATATTTTCCTTCAAATTAAATAAAGTCGAATGAATGAATTTTTCCAAATCAGAAAAACTCTACAACTTAACCTAACAAAACATGTCGCTTTAAATCAATTGAAAAGTTTTTGACCTTAATAATACCTTTAGTTTTTAAAAAGGATGATTGAATATTTATATATACGCACAGCTATACTAAATTATCTAGAAATATTTAATATTTTCAACGTTCCTCGGATTTTTTTCTATCGTAGACCAGTTTGTTATACAAGAATCCGATGAAATCGCGACTAGAAATAGTTGTAGAATGTAGATAGTAAAAAACATTCAACGTCAAAGCGATAGTATTGAAGTATTGAATTACCAGGTGTTACCAGGCTCGTCAACGGATCTACAACACCTGGCGTCGGTTTAATTCAACTTACTGTCTAATCTCTTCGGGTTTTTGACTTACGTATATTGCCCGTAACTGAAATTTCACACAATTCAAGAATTGGACGCCCTATGGATCTTTCCCCAACCTTTGACCTCCGAAAAATTCTTCCTATACTTTACCATTGCAGAATTTTCGGGGCTATTTTAAGAGTGCTTTTGCGAGTTGGCGCCTGTAAAATGGGATATGTGTTTCAAACCATCATTATGATTCATCGCATACAACATTCTGTTTTTTAGAAGTACCGGTAAAATTTTTTAGCCTAGTCTATCACAGCTATTTCTACACCAATTTTTTATTACTGCAATTAAATTGAGCGGATGCGAAAAGGGAGCATTGTTACGTCAATTTTTGCATATTGCTGATTGGCCAATGTCACAGAGTGAACAAGGAAGTCGATGCTCGGGGAAAGGTCGATATTGTATTGACAAAAAAATAAATCATGTAACATGGCACCAGACCGACCGGAAGTAACATTTATTGGACACGTTAGTGGATATAACGATCGTTCTGAATTATTTTCGACACCTAGTGGAAAACTTAAAAAGTCGCTTTTCCCTTTGATTACTGGACCAATTTCTTCAAAATTTTCAGTGGTTGAATATGGAATTTTTTTTAGAAGACTATTACTTTTATTTATTTATTTCAAATATTTCTGTTAGCACTGTGGGATTCGTGTTTTTGACACGTAATGGATTTGTTTTTATGCTGGCACTCTTCTTCTTGTTCACGTGCTCATCGAACGTCGGTGGTTCCCGTGTAACGTAGTTCTTGCTTTGCCAAGATTTGTTCAAGGGGAATGGCGAACAGCGCCATGGTGTTATATTACAATAGTGACTCGGATCGGTGGTGTTACTACAGTTGTGAGTTGCAATTTCACGCTGTCACGAGACGGGAACTTCTAAAGATAGGGCAATTCTGGTACCATAACACAGCGCGGTGACACTGAACTAACGTAAAAGCGGGGCTTGAACTCATTGTTATAACTAATGTCTTTTAATGTTGGTGCTTTTCTTGGAATCGGTAAACTGTGCCGTACCGAGTAAGACACTGTAACATAGCCATGTAGCTGCTTCACTGTTTTCGTTCAGGATACCCTATTTCGGTGAATTGATAATAAAATATTTCGTTTCCTCCTACGTGTCCATATATTTGAGCAAAGCTCTCTTGTTATAACGGGTAATTAGGTATTTAATTAACAGTATAACTATAATTTCAATTTATGCCCTATTCTGTGGACTTGCTACACTAGTCGTGTGTAAAAAAAGTAAATAACAGCTATAATGAAATTACACTATATTCATTCATTTTACCACTTATATCAATATAAAAATATTAAATAAAATTATATATATATAAAGTGTCCATAGGGTCTTCAAAATTTTTAAAATTGCAAAATGAATTTATCGATACCATATATTGTTTTGACCCTCACAGGTGTATTAAGTAAAATAAAAGTACTCAAACAATTACTAATTAAAAAACAACAAACCTGGTTGAGATGTATTGGGAACTAAATGGACTTTATGGACACTCTTTATATATGCAAAATGACCATATTGCACTAATTTTTTCAGGGCGGACCTAGTATCTATATCTAAACTTTTCAATTGATGACATTGATTATTGTATTTGGAAAGGTAAGAAAATAGTAACTAGAGAACATTTATGCAGTGGCGGCGCTTGGTCATTTTGACAACCGGAGCAAGCTACTGCGGGACCAAGTCACCCCCATCTACGGGGACAGGATGAGCGCTGTAAGTTCTCCCATCCTTTTATGAGTATAAAAACCATTCCATCGGTAACAACCAATCGGCAAAAGCGACAATTTTAAACGATAAGAAAGTGTCTTTAAAGAAGCAATAAAATTAGCAATATCGTGAATCATATAGACTAGTTCATTTTTTCTATATATCATTAAGTTTTGATCTGAAACAATTTCCTTCAAAGCTTCGAGAAATATCTTGTTTCGTGAACCACTACGTCTGGTGTTGTTTGCAATTCTTTTATTGTAGAAACTCCTGGAAACAAATATAAATGAGGCAATGTTACTCTATAGCTCTTCATGAACCAAAATAAAAGTTTTATCTATATTGCGAGGGATCTTTCAAAATTGCGCTGGTGTGTGCCATTGGGAATTTATTGTTAGTTGGCAATTTAAGATGCTTTTTGAATACTTAAAGTATTAAAATCGCCTTAGTTTACGCAATAAAATTTGGGAAGAGATTTGCAGTTTTTTTTTCGGTACGTCAAGTGCCATCAAAACTAAACTATAAAATGAAAATTAAAATAAGTTCCTATTGATAGTGTTTTGCTCAACGTAAAAAGATTCATAAAAGTTAGTACACATATGAATTACTTCGAAGCAGCATTATTTTATAAACTCACCAAGAAATTTCATGGTATAGATAAATTCGTTTTTGAGAATTTCCAGAACATTTCGTACACCTTCTTCGCCCTGAAAAGTTATTGTTTCGTTTGAACGTTGTCGTATTTAAAAAATATTTTACACGTCTACTAGAATATATATTTTGCACCAATTTTAGGAGAATTTGCCCTATTGCATAACGACCACCGTGTATGTATAATAAGAGTGAATAGGGTCGATATAAAAGCTTTATGGAACATATATGTTTAAAACCAAATGATCTTATTACAAACCTCGCATGCTAGTCCCCAGAGTATGGGTCTTCCAACAAATACCGCCTTTGCTCCAAGAGCGATTGCTTTTGCTACATCTGTCCCGTTACGGATTCCTCCGTCAAAATAAACATCAACTTTGCCATTCACGGCTTTAACTACTTCTGGAAGAACGTCTATCTAAAATCAAAAACCAGTTTTAAGGAATTGCATAGAAAATGAAAATCGTGGATGCGTACATTCATCTCGTAGAGTTGATACTCAAACCATCTCTGTGTAAAAAATTAGCCTGTGTTTCAAAGAGAATTCAGAAAGAGCATTAAAATTTTGATTCGATGATAACTTGGACTTTACAATATGGATTTAGTTTATCTTTTCTTCAATCGAGAAATGACGTAGAAATGATATAGATCGAGTCAGCATGCTTTTCTTATTGTATCTCTTTTTTTTCATCTCAGTTAATTACACGAAACAATCAATCACAGTAGCTGAAAATTAATAAATTTGTAAGACAAAATTCTAAAACAAAATATAAAAGATTAAAACAACATTTGAAGTTGCCGGAATATGTCAAAAAGACAGCGGTACCCAATGTATGAGTTGCTAAAGCCATACCAGTACAAAAACTGGTATATTTCATTCTATATCAATGTATACTGACTGTCGCAAATGTACTATCTAATATTCTTCCGCCATGGTTTGAGACAATGATTCCGTCAACTTTGTGTTCAACAGCTATAAGGGCCATTTCCGCTTAATAAAAAACAGATTGTAAGGATTTTTAACGAAATATTGTTATTCCCTGCAATACAAAGCCTATCATGTGGATGAACTCATAACAATAGCCTACCTGTCATAATTCCTTTAACCACTACAGGTAACTTGGTTAATCCTTTCAACCAGTCGATACTGTCCCATTCAACACTTCCATCCATCCAAGATTCCAACGCATCAAAAGCCAGTTTATTGGGTTCCACAATCTTGATTTATTGTTCAATATTTCTGCATCTAGATCATTCGCATAGTAAAATATATTTGAAATAAATTGCAAGAAATGTGAAAAAGATGTCGTTGCTTGATGCTCTTCCGAACGCTTTTTGATGACACAATTGTTTTGAATTTAGAATAATTAGAGTTTCAGACGTTATACGTTTGACGAGAGAGGACTAAACTTCAATGAATCTGTTCGATTTTCATCTGAGTAAAAATACCTGTATACACATAGTACTTACACAATAGATGTTTCAAAATCAAATGGTTTCCCGTCTTCGTATCTGTAATCACGATGTCTATTAACCGTGTGATCGACAGTTGCAATGAATCCTTTAAATCCATTTTGCTCAGCTCTTCTTACATAATGTTTTGTTACAACACGATTCTATGAGATATTTGAATATCAATAAGGCAAAAAAGTATTTATGAATCTATAATAGTTAGAGACTTCAAGTACGTGTATAGGTAAACACTTAATCATTATTTTTCAAGTTTGCCGTTTTAAATGTTAAGGCTGTCGTGATTCTATGGCATGTGTAGTCACCTTTCACACCTCCTTCCATTATGTCCTCCAAAATTATGTCAAACTTTGTACGGCCGAAAGGAATGAATTGATATTCAAAAACACAGTTGGAGTTTTCAATTTAAAGAATTTCATGCTTACTTATTGTATTTTTTTATGTTTGCAGACTACTGAATGTAAACATTATCATTATTACTATGAAATTGGAAATTTAATTCTTCCATAACAACCTTGGTTAATTGAACTTGGCACCATTTTATGCAGTTTGGCACTTCAGTTGCGATTTCTTCCATTGTTTTACTACTCAATACACTTACTGTCATTCCTACGCCATGTGATTCTGCGGCTGAACAAATATACATATATTATTTAATATTGTGTGAAACTAGCAAGTGTGATGTATGAAAATGAATAAATATGTTGGTGTTATTTTACCTCTTGTTGTACATAATTCACCTTCTGGCGTACACAGACCATGTTGTGCTGTGGGTGCGACACATATTGGAAAGGGTATTTTTAAACCAATTACTTTTGTCGAACAATCCACTCTGCTAACGTTCTTTAAATTCCTGGGACGGAACCGCCATCTGTGTATAATTTTAAATGATTTAATTTGTTCAATATATAATCCAGGGATTAAAACAGTGTTGCAATTTGAAGCACGGTAACCCAAAATAAGCAATATTGATGACTCTTAGTGACACCTTGAAAAATAGTTCATGTTTCAGCGTGCAGTTCATATAAAATTAAGCGTTCTCAGTAGAAAAGGAATTCCTCTGGGGAGAATTTTATGTTGTTATTGAGGAGGAAATACAAAAATATCGCCTTGTGTTCGGTGTAGTTTTACAGAAATTGTTCATCTATTTAGTATTATTGTAATACATATTTATGAGATTCAAAGCATAAGCACGGCATAAAGAAATCCAAAATAGACAAAGAGAAGAATGTATCGAAAAATGTTAGAAGCCACTGCTTTAAACTACGCAAAACCTTTTTTACAATATTCCGGATTTCCAATACAAGCGGATTTCCCTGCATGATGCAAACTAAATAATAATCTCCACCGTGCATGTCATGGATATTGCGTTGAGCATCAAAGTAAAAACATAAATAATAGATCAAAAAGAACGTAAAAATATTAGTTGTTATTGCGAATAGGTATGCAAACATCCTGAATCGGTAATTTCCCTTTTAAATGCTTCACAGTTTTCTTTTATTGTTTCTCCTCCGATTGCTCCAGCAGCATAATAGCCCCAATCATATTGTGATAACTTTCTCCTAGCCTCCTCTTCATAATCCTTTACTGATACCAATAAGTTCTCCGTGGACTAAAATATATAAATTGGCTATCCGTAAAAGAGTTTAAGCATGTGGAATAACAGCGGTTATTATGTGTGCGCCGTTACTTTTGAGTCGACAGGATTATCAGAACTTGGAAACAACAAAGTTATCGATTTTTCAGCCATCTGTTTCCCAGACTGACAGCGACAGGCGTGGCATAAGTATAACGCGTTTTTGCATGCGATTTGAGAACTTTGAAAGAATGTAGTATATTCATTTATGAGGTGAGGCGGAACCAGCCGAAAATGTCGAAATTTGTTGTTTTTCTACGTCGTTCATTCGGACCTTTCGCTCCCAGTAAGATCAGGTACCAACAGGCAGTGGTATCTAACGATATCTTATAGAAAATCTTACTTTGCTGTTGAAGTTATCCCCAGCTACAGAAGCGCGCATATTCATATATCTCGTTTGGAGGACGGATTTATAGTAAGCAAAAAGGAGATCTTTTCCTCTGTATCCCATGGCTACACCTATGAGATGAGACTCGTTTTGCAAACATAATTGTCATTTCCCTAGTTTCATATTCAGGAAACAAACTGTATAATATTCTACAATCCATATAAGAGTTTTAGAAAATTGCCAAATTTCATACGACGTACGTAATTGACGTTAGATTCAAATACTTATGAAACTTACGACCTTTCTCCGTCCTGGTCTCCAGCTACGCATCTTATTTGGTGCTCTTGCTACTGCTTTAAATCTCCCCGAATTTTCTCATTACGGTTAAATCCTTGAAGAATGCAGTCATCAACCAATCCAAGCAAATTGAAGTACAAGTGATACGAATATTATTTAAAATTGACCTATTGCCAAATACACGAACAAAGAGTACTTTGCGCATTTAAAACGCTGAGTGTTGCTAAATTATCTTCATTCGCTATGATGTCAAGCCAAGTTTATTTTTCCCAACCAGTAAAAAAAGTAAGTTGATGCACATATAATAAATTTCCACAACTCGATAACAGTAGATTCCTACATTTCGTACCCGCACACTAATCTTTTCTGACTTTTAAATTTCGGGGCTTGCTTCGATAATAATAAAAAAGTCTTGGCTTGCCCAGTAACGCTGGTGAAAAATGATCCCTTTTTAATAGAACAGACAGAAGTGGTCAGTACATGACATATGGCTTCTTTCCAAAGCACGAAGATAGATGTCTATGTGAAGTAACACTCGTTTACAGATTACAAAACGTATTTACGAAATCTATTTATAGCTATACTTCCAAAAACTCATATGTGATAAATGATTTCAATTTTGCAAGACATTTTGGTGTTTGGATATGACCTTAACATGGACGCCTATTTTCGTGCCTTGGAGAGAAGCCACATGTCATGTAATAACCACTTTTGTCTGTTCCATTAATCACAGGTTAATTATTGGACACAAAGTGGACCTATGGTCTGTCTGATGGACCGTTTTGTTATTATGTTCATTTCATTCATTATTATTATGTTCATTCTTTCATTTCTTTAGAAGATTTCTGTGGCCCCTTTTTTGTATTTGATGACGTCATCAAAATTGGGAATAGCGCACCGTGTCGTGGTTCAGTGATCACATATCACTCAATGTTCAGCCATTGGAAATTTCAAAAAAATTTGATCCAGTAATCGAAGAGAAAGGCGATTTTTTCATAACAACGAGAAGAAAATTGCCAACAACAAGAGAGCGATCTCAAATATATTGACACGAAAACTAAAACTAATTATTGATCTCAGTGATCTGTTGTTCAGACTACTACAAAATTGATACTAACCAGTTTTAGCGTTTGTGTCCATATATTTGAGCGTCGGTCTTTTGTTATTAGTATTTTTCTTCATTGTTGTTGTGAAAAAATCGCTTTTCTTTTTGATTAGAGGGTTGAACTACTATAAACGTCAAACGTCACTACGACGTCGCAATCACGTCATATAGCTTGCAAAAGTCAGACATATGTAAAAATTGTGAAGCTAAATAAAAAATATTCATTGGATTTTATCTTGCCTGCTTTGTTTTGAATATTTACATTTCAAAACTTTTCATTTATTTCATTATTTACTTTCCATCCACATATTTTCAACGTGTTTTTCGAATAAAACATACTTTTGCCCTACTATCTGTTATTTGTTGCTAGCTAGTTATTTTTGAGGTGGGCTGCGAAACTTGACAAATTCTAAAACGAGGCGCAACTTAAAAAGTTTGAGAACAACAACTGTGCTGTTTTTCGAAATCTGGTAATTACGTCTTATAAGGCAATTGACATAAAATACCCAGGTTTAATGAGCTTTTTTTATTTTTTTATTAATAGGCAACTTGCGAGGATAAAACCCTGACATTGCCATGTCAGCCTGTGGGGTTAGACACATTACACCAGGGGTCCGCAAACTGCGGCGCTTGTTTTGTAATAAATAGCGTCAGTAGTATGTCGTTTGAGATAATTTTGATTTTTAAAATTAAAAATATATTGGAAACGGAGGGAGGTTCGCGACGAGGGTCAACATTCCAAAGTGCTTGAACGCGAAATATTTTTTTTTTCGCGCATTCCAAAACCAGTTTGCTCTATATGCCCGGTCAGCATTGCAGATATCAAGGAATTTAATGTTAAATGTTTTAATGAATTAATGTTGATGTTAATCGAAAATCTGACCTGGGACTGCGCCACAGCTCATCTGTGCGACAGTGCAAAACGTGTAATCTGCACGTTCGGAAGTCATCATCCTTTATCTGAAATGCACAAATTTTATACAAATTACTGCTCTGTCATCAATCTGATGATTACTATGTTCGACTTTGTAAGCCATTGTTACTTTCTATCTTTTTAGTTATTGCTGAATCTGTGATAATCTGATTGCCTAATCTCTCTCTGATCCTTATAACATTGTTTAATATCCTGTTATAACCTTTTTATGTCATTAAAAGTTATTGTGTTATAACTGATAAACTACATATTAATTGCATATTTAATTGTGGATCATACATTAATATTCCAGTTTATTTTCAAGTATGTACTTATAAATGTTTCAAGTAATAACCTTCTTATATTGTTAAACCCACTATTATGTAACAAGTGAACTGTATATTTAATTGTGGATTATATAATAACAAGCCGGTAGGCGCCCAGTTGGATCTCCGCAATTGCTTGAGGCCCGCATCTTTTCAGTATACTAACGGATAATAGGAGACACTACTAAAAACGCCAGTTCATTTGAACGCTGCGCGTTCCGCTGAGTTCATTTCAAACGCTGCGCGTTTCTTAGTCTTACTCGCGTGACTGGTATATCAAACCATTATTAAAAAATAATCTTCACTAAAATCCCTAAGACTTCTCCAGTTTATGGAGTATCGAGACCAAAAACGACTTATTTGAAAGAGTACTTTGCTATGCGGAAGGTAGCGTTCTTGGAATTTGAATTTTCGACTTGGTTGGCGAGAAAACGGCGATAAATTGTGAAAAAACTAGGAATTTCATAACGATCGGCGCGATTTTCATTGTTACCATGGAAACGGGACCTCTATCTGGACTTTCTACAAAACGCACATTACTAGGGTGACAGGATAACCCACGTGAAAAATTTCATTGAAGATTGGTCCAGCCGTTTAGACGCTACATCTAAACAGACAGACAGATACACAGACAAGCCGGTAGGCGCCCAGTTGGATCTAGGCCATTGCTTCACTAAAAATCCCTAAGGCTCCTCCAGTTTATGGAGTATCGAGACCAAAGACAACTTATTGGACAGAGTATTTTGCTATGCGGAAGGTAGCATTCTTGAAATTTTAAATTTCGACTTGGTTGGCGAGAAAACGACGATGAATTGTGGAAAAAATTGAAATTTCATAACGATCGGCGCGGTTTTTATTGTTACCGCGCACAATACTAGGGTGGCTGGATAACCTATGTAAAAAATTTCATTCAGATTGGTCCAGCCGTTAAGACGCTACATCTAAACAGACAGACAGATACACAGACAGACAAGCCGGTAGGCGCCCAGTTGGATCTCCGCCATTGCTTGAGGCCCGCATCATTTCAGTTTACTAACGGATAATAGGAGACACTACTAAAAATCGCCAGTTCATTTTGGACGCTGCGCGTTCCGCTGAGCTCATTTCAAACGCTGCGCGTTTCGTAGAATTACTCGCGTGACTGGTATATTGTGGCTGAAAATTGAAAAATGATCTTCACTAAAATCCCTAAGGCTCCTCCAGTTTATGGAGTATCGAGACCAAAGATAACTTATTAGACAGAGTATTTTGCTATGCGGAAGGTAGCATTCTTGGAATTTTAACTTTCGACTTGGTTGGCGAGAAAACGGCGATAAATTGTGGAAAAATTGAAATTTCATAACGATCGGCGCGGTTTTTGTTGTTACCATGGAAACGAAACCCATATCCGGACTTTCCATAAAACGCACAATACTAGGGTGGCTGGATAACCCATGTAAAAAATTTCATTCAGATTGGTCCAGCCGTTAAGACGCTACATCTAAGCAGACAGACAGATACACAGACAGACAGACAGAACGACTGATAATAAGGGTCTCCTAAAGAGCGGAGATCCAACAGACAGACAGAACGACTGATAATAAGGGTCTCCTAAAGAGCGGAGATCCAACAGACAGAACGACTGATAATGGGGTCCCTGTAGAGCGGAGATCCAATATTCCAGTTCTTTTTCAAGTATGTATAAATACTTGCAACATTTATCTACAAATTGGGAGTCAACCATGTCCGAAAATTGTGCACTAGCAAGTCTGCTCGGTTGGGCAGAGACGCTCAAAAAAGTATCCACAGCGGGCGGTCACAGCATGAATGTGACCGCTAAAAATGATCATTTTTAAGACATTCGTCCTATGAACCCGTGGCATGGTGGCTATATGGTTGACCGGTTGGTGGAACAAAGTCTTATGCGCCAAGCGGAAACGATGGACGCCGACATGGAACTTCTGGAATAATACCAGTAAGCACTGGAAATATGACTTATGTGGCATTTTCCCAAGTACTTAAATACAATGTTACATTGCGGTGTCTCTAAAATGTCGCGTCCCATTTGCCCCGCGTTTCCCACATGTCCCGCTTGCCCACGTATCTTCATTCTGTAGGAAAACTATTATATTTCGTATTTCTTACATTTAATTGGGTGTTAATAGGACAAACTCTGACATCGATGACAACTGCGGGGATAGAGTATTCGAGAAAACAGAAGGGCCCGGGGAAGAAGAGCATCCTGTCGGGGATTACTCCCCATAAAAAGTACGCACGACCCTATTAATGGGATATTTTACTTTCATCTGTAAACCAAGATGGCGGACACCGGAACGTGGTATGTGTACCAGGTTAGGGTATAATTTCAGGTACAAATACTACGGGAATCATTTGGCTAGTCCCCGAACTCGTAATATAACTAAAATAAGGAAAATTTGAATAAAAGTATGGCCTAACCTGGTACTACGTTCCGGTGTCCGCCATCTTAGTTCACATACTACTGGAGCGCCCAAAATTGTACACGCACAGGCTGAATATAACGAAACCCATGTATAAAGCTGCACATCTCTCTAAGTACTTAGACACCAATAACTTCGTGAAACATAACTTAAAAATGTACAAACTATAACTTTTCCATCATATAATATTGCATTAGAATTGCACAGTCATTCTGATGTCTATTCGTTCGTGATACTTGAAACAAGACAAATGCTCCAATTATGAATTTATCCAATGTGATAGGGGTGGGTTTTGATAGCCCATCCATATATTTGTTGAGTGTCTCAACCCTCTTCTGCCTCCTGCTAGCGCTGGTGTCTTGTCTCGCTATTGCATCGACGACCTCAACCGCCGTGATTAGTTTTTTTTAAAACATTTCCGAAATGTAATTTTTCATCTGGAAAATAAAAAACTATTTGTGGGTTCAGAAATAAGACCACAATCATCTGACAATATGTGAACGTTTTTCAAGTGGGAATCTTAACTTGTTGTACCACCAGTATCTGTTCTGTATTGCATAAACAAGACAGCGATGTATTAATATTTATACACCAAAAGTCAAAACGAAGTAGTACGAGTATGCAATCTGTAACAGTAGACTATCGGTATGCAATCTTCACGACGATGCGAAACAGAGCCGACACAAGGCGCGCAAATTTTGATAAGTAATCGCGCACAAAAAATGAATCCCAACAATCTTTATCCACTGGCAATTGGTTCAGTAGACAATTGATGAGGCAATTGGTTCAGTAGGTAATGAGAAAAACGACTTTTTAATTTCATTTTTCTAGCAGGCATATGACTTTTGTCGGCTTTGACAGCATGTAACAAAAAGAAAAATTCTATTACAAATAATTTTATTGGTTTATCATGTCGAGAAACTCGTTAGCATACAAACATTAACGTTTTGCGCGTTTTCCAAATTAAACTTTTTATACCGCATCCATAATCTCATAACTACAAGGATATGGTTGGAAGATGTTTATTATTAGCGTTTCATGTTAATTGTGTGACGTACAGTATTAATATTAATCAAATGTGATATTCCCCTAGCAAAAATAATCGACAAAATGCATCAAAAATGCGAAAACGTTGCATGAAGCGCCTGAGCGGTTTGTCAAATTTCATTTATTACGTCACTGTTGAAACGACCATTGTGACCATTTATGCACTTGACCCATATATCTCAAACCACAGCCCCAATTCATTTAATGACCATCTGATTTTAATCGTCTGATTTTTTTTTATTAAATTTGGTTTGAGTGTACACAGCAGTATGTCCCGACTCATTTGCTATCTCGTTCGTAGCCGACATCGCCTGAGTCATGCAATCAATTCATTTAAATTCTCTCCTAACCGAAGAACGAACTCAAGAAATACACCTTACTACATAATATTTGCGCAATATAAAGCTTAAGATATCTGACCAGAATGATATTTAGTTATTGTTCGGTACAATTTGACCACATCGTGGGTGACTGATTAAATAAGTTCCTTTCGTGCATAGTCACCCGCTGGTTTGTAAAGTTTGAACCCACGAAGCACAAACCTCACAAAGCGCCAAACGTAAATAGATGATTAAAGATGGAACAGTATAACATTTTATATTAGATTTTAACCTTTGAGAGTATATTAAGTATAATATGGTGATTATTCCTTGCTTCATAATATTTTTTCAATGGAAATAAACGCAATTTCGTGGAAAGGGGTGTGGATATGACATATTAGCATATCACAGTGAAAAGGTAACTCTAAACAGAATGAAGGAGTTGAAACAGTACAGACAGGATGAACTCTCATACCCCCTGGTATTTAAACGAGAATATCGGTCAGAGACCGAAGACTTATCGATCGAAAGTTAGGGGATCCCCCAAAACAGCGCTCTTACTCCATAGTGACACCTTGTGTCCCATCACTAATTAATTAATAACTCGCCAATTATACGACATAATTTGCCCAAAATCGATAGGCTTCTGGTCCGAGATATGATGAATGCACATGCAAAATCTGGAGCAGTTTTGTGAGATATCGCGTGCATCTAACAGACAGACATACAGACAAATACCTATCAACATACTTACCGATTAAAATCGATAAGTGATTAGTTTCAAGCTCAAAAACGTCTTGACTAAATTCAAATTTATAATATTAACCTGTCTGAAGCGGCTTTGTATATTCTATGAAACGTTTCCACATTTTGAATGAACCCCATAACTGTCACTATCGTTGGATATAGTTTTAGCCTAACCGCGTACCTGTATACCTATATGTGCGCTCGAAGAGTATTCATTTCAAAAGTCCTTCTGTTTTTTTAGAATAAATTCAGGCATGTACGTTGGGGGCTATGATCTTAATCTTGAAACCGACTCTAGTTTAGTGTTATTTTATCGATCAGATAAATAAGAGTAAATTTAGTAACAAAGTAAATGTTCCTCACACAGACATAGGACAAAATCTTATCACAGAAGATAAATCTAACCAATCGTTTAGTCACTTATCTACAGAGTATAAAACTGATTTGTTGTGTAAGATAAGCACATTATTAATCAGTTAATAGAAACATGATCACATGTGAAAACTGTTTATCGGTTCGGGACTATTGACAAGCCAAACAACCATTTAAAATCACGATTATTATCGATAATAAGAATATAAAAGCATTAACACTAAAGAAATTTACATTATTGCATTACGAGCACAAGACTACATTGACAACTACAAAATGATTTCCTATCGTCACCCTTACCAAGCTCTCTGGAATGCCCAATTGACACCTTTCGTTCGTTGCAATTACGCAGGCATTGCAGATTTGGAAGCAATTACAACAAGAAAAAGAAAGTTTTCATCAGACGAAGGTTCGGATCTCGTGAAATCCAAATATGTAGATCCAAAGACAAAAGTTGCCAAAATTTACAACGTTTCAAAGCAGTCATATCCAGTCGTTAAAGTAAACATCGAAAAACCAAAGAAGAAAACTACTTTATTTACCATAGCCGCAATACTGGGGTACTCGACCGAGGAGAGCCCAAGAAAAAAGAGAAAACTTCAACCTACGAAGCCAACAAAAAGAAAAGATGATTCAATTGATTCGGGTTTTTCGTCCTCTGGAGAAAACGACGAATCGATTGTTGTAAATACAAATGACGACAGCGGAATTTGTATAAATCATTCCAATGAGCAACAACAAGTACGAGACAGATTTCAGTCTGCCCAACCGCAGTTATACCAACCCGAAATAGAAAACATACGACCGCCTTCGGAAAGCTTCTATAACAAGTATATGCCTATCAATGATGCACATCATTTTTATCATGGGTTCAACCGATTTGGACAACAGAACTCGATGTCTAAACATCAACATGCTATCCCATATGCACCAATTCAAGCAATAGCTTTCGTTGAACAAGAAATCCGGTCAAATTCAACGACTTCCGCACCTCAAAAAGCAAGAAATACTCAAAGAACAAGAACTACTTTTACTCAAAAGCAATCGGGGCGTTTGGAAACTGAGTTCAACAATCAGCAATACATGGTTGGAATTGAAAGACGTACACTTGCTAAGAAGCTCAAACTGACAGATGCGCAAGTTAAAGAAGAATCAGGTACAGGAATGAGAAGAAGCGCAAACCCGAAGAAAAGACCAGAAAACTCGATATCCTCAAACGTGATGCGTTTGGAAAACCTTAAGAATATTTTTTTGTAGTATGCATTTAAGTTTCAAAATTTTAAACATTGTTATTTTTTTACAAATCGTTTGTACATTTATTATTTCCTAAGAGTTTTATTACAAAAATTTGTCAGTAATATTTGAAAAATTATCAGATTTATTCATTTATCAGTGAGTGTGTTCATAGGATGAAATCCAGGGGTATGTAATCTCTTTTATGTCGAGAATTGAAACCAACTTTTCCTAGTTTTAAGGGACGAACAGAATTATTACAGAAGATATAAACACAGCCAAGCGTACGACATCTGTGAGGATATGACCTTTTAATGAAATGTACTAGAATCAAAGGTGTAGTATATATTTACGATAAAACACAGACATGTCCACTAAAATTATATCTGTGCGAAGCTATACAAATAGCTAAGCTGAAATATTAGTTGTTGAACGTTTATGTTTGGATATCTGCGACTATGGTTATTTACGCATAATTAGTAGGCTAGGTAATAGAAAAGTCCCATAATATATATACAACTGTTCCAGAGGACCTTCGTCGAACCCCTGGAAGTGCCTCACCGAACCCCAGGGGTTTGATCTAACCCAGGTTAAAAACCACTGATCTAATAGAACTGTTTGTAATTCCTACCGACAACGCAAGGAATTCGATACCTTACTGGCTTACTATAAATATTTTATTTAAAAAGACGATGAATTTTATCTGATTCTGCGTCGTGTGGGAATCCACGCAAAAAATTGAATGGCTGGTCGTCTGATATTGCATCAAAATTTTCAGTATAATATGAAAGTAGTTTATCTAAGTTCATATTTGATAATAACTCCAAAAACTTCGAATACTTTTAGTTTTGTTACTTCGCTGAATATTAGAATTATAAGCTTCTGTCACTTATTCTTGAAGTGATCATTTGTTTTTAACATTTTTGAGATTATTAAATATCCGTCTTCAAAATTACTAGTGCAACTACAGAATAATCAAGCCTTATATTCAGGGATTCCATACCGTCCTTAATTCTAAGGATTGTCCTTGTTTTTGGCCTAATTTTGGCTTGCATCCTTATTTTTGACTTGCGTGTCCTCATTTTGTCTTATTTGGACTTCATAAGGGAAGCTTTGTGTTGTTTGTCTCATCGCCAAAACTTTATTGTGGCATCATAAAAGCACCACAATCCTATTTGGAACACAAAGAAGCAAGGCACAGATAGGCATGAAGCATTGTTATTGTGGCGATCGTTAGGTTATATCGTGGTGGTATTTTAGCCTAAATTTTAAAATGAGCAAACGTAAGAACGTTTTTCGTGATGAGTACGAAAAAGAATTCAAAGTTAAACGAAGCTTGGAGGGTGAGTGCACGCACACTGTGACATCTGTAATTGTGACATTAACCTGCAGGTCATAAGAAAGCCAGCTATTTCTGCTCATAATGCAGAAAATTTTCCAGTAGTCCTTATTTTGGGCTCCAGATCGATGGAATCCCTGCTTACATTTCATCACTTTTGAACTTTCATCAATAATAGTCAGATTATCTGAATTCATTTGTAAGCTGATGTTAGAAAGGTAATGCCACCGACTGATTCTTTTTGTTGGTAGTTTGGTGGTGATTTATTTATTCCCTGCAGTGTGTCTCATGCTACGACTTCCCCAGCAGCATATTTAAACATAGCCTACATGGCCGAAACTGGTGATTAGAGGATAATGATCTTTTCTCTCAGATATTAATATACAGTCTCATCTCGTCAACCTTTTACGGAGGCTGCGAAATCGGATTTTGATGAGATGTGAGAATGACAATGTTATTTCAGGGGCAAACTATATATATGCGCATGAATATAAGCTTATTATGTGAAATATGACCTAAATGTTAAATCATCATTTAACGTACTGTTTATACCCGACTGATACGCTGTACCGATATCACAATGCGACTGCCAGAAAAAAAATACAATCATAACTATATACGCGAAGAAATAGAAAAACATGAAATGGACCTCTCCCCGAACTTTGACCCTCGGAAAATTCTCCCTATACTTAACCATTGCAAAATTGTCAGGGCTATTTTAAGAATGCTTTTGCGAGTTGGCGCCTGTAAAATGGGATATGTGTTTCAAACCATCATTATAATTCATCGCATACAACAATCTGTTTTTTAAAAGTACCGGTAAAGAATTTCAGGCTAGTCTATCACAGCTATTTCTACACTAACTTTTATTACTGCAATTAAATTAAAACTCCTAGAAAGACAGAGTGATCATTGAATTATCTGATTTTTGTTCAAGTTCTCAAAACACAACTGAAAACTAACGAATAGAGTTCAAAAATGCGAAAACGAGGTAATGTTTACAATCACGCTTGAAAATCTGTCTGAGTGAGAAAAGTGTCTGAGCGGATGCAAAAAGGGGGCATTGTTACGTCACTTTTTGCATCTTGCTGATTGGCCAATGTCACGAAGTAAACAAGGAAGTCGATGCTCGGGGAAAGGTCCATATAGCTTTTTAAATGAAAATATTTGAGGTATCGAAAAAAGGACTTTTCGCATTGTGGGTATATAATATACATTAAGTCGTATAGTCTACTATACTTTCTGGAAAACGGGTCCTGGCACCATTTACGACCATTCATACACAGTACTTGAGTCTCGTCTTTTTTGCTCGCTATGAATTTATTAATATCGTAAGTCGTCCCACCGTTTGTTTCTTTTTGTATCACAGAAAAACATTCCTAATATGTTTGTGTACCAACCATAGCTGATACGACGAAAGAAGAAATCGGTTGTGACTTCAATATCTCACTTGCTTTTGACAACTCTTTTCTTGCAGTGCTGAGGTTTTGCCTCACCAGTTTGTAGCTTTTCATCCATGTGGGTATTTTCGCGAAAATCAAAATGTTATTGAAATAGCCGTAAGCGTTAACAACAGAGTGGACACCACAGTGGTAACTATTAACCAATTCTATCGAATATAAAATTCTTAAATCTACTGCATTCTAGAGAAATTTTGGTGACATAAACTGTCCAATCTAGATTTCCATCTGTAGGCCTAGTGCTTTCAACCACATAACTCCGCCGGAGCATACCGCCTTCCGTCGGAGAAATTTCTTCCACTTTTTAGGTTCAACCTTTTAGTATTCGTCGGAAGGAATTTCGTCCACCTTTTCCTTTTAGAGCTCAGTCATTTAGTGCTTTTGTCACAAGAAGTTCATCCGCCTCTTCCTTTTGGGGTTCAGCCTTTTAGTATTTTTCATCGTTGGGAACACTACAACTTCCTTATTTCAACCAATTCACCCGTTTATTGCTTTGGCCTTTTACTTAGTGTCGTCCAATCAACTGGGTGGCGCTATGCAATACTTTTGCTTTTCACTGCAGCTGCAGGGCTGCCACTCTAGAATCTAGCTGTTTTTTTCAAGATCTAGATGTAAAATTTGGAGTCTAGATATTAGCTATAAAATCTAGATATTTTTTTCAAGGTTCTAAATATTATTCAGTGGGAAATAAATAAAGAAATGTGTATAATACTGTAATAGGTGAATGAATATTATTTCATTATTTAGAAGTATTGATGTAAGATTGATAAAACTCATTCATATTGTATTCGTCCACCGGTACCATATGTACTTGAAATATTTAAATAACGAATTAAACATGTGACGTTTCAATTACCGTTTACCACAAAGGACTACGTTGGTCCGATGATATTGTTGTCAAGGGGTTTTAAAATTATTAAGTCATTTAAGTCTAAAAATGCTATTGAATTTGTCTCTCTTTAAACATGAACATTTCAAAATGCCAAAGTGTATACACTACCAGCAAAAATTTAGAAAGCTTGGCTTAAGGCAGGGGTGTGCAACCTTTTTCGCAGGCGGGCCAAATTTCCATAACTGGGTGAAACCGCGGGCCGCACCAGCATTTAATGTAGGCTTTCTATTAGTTGCAGGCACAAAATAGTGTCTTTTTGTTATTGATCTCATACCATCGTTAGGGGTCCTTGCAGAAATGATGATTTGAAATGCATGATATTCTTAAAACTGTAATTCAAATACGGTATATATAATTTGACACCCAATTTAAACAAATTCAGTTGGAAATTTGCTGCTGGATTCTTTTCCCGACTACTTTTATCCAAATTTGCTTGAATGGAAGTGCTAGCAATTCAATATGACGCCCTTTTTAGAAAAAAATTTGTTTCCGCAAAGTGCCATATTTGAAGCCATGACTTTTTTAAATGTGGAAAGTTTTCTTGGTGTTTTCGGTGAAAATCATTTCCAAATAATTTTTTGTCAAGTCTTATTCTAGATTAGATTTAGGCAATTGATACACTGGAACCAGAACCCATTTAGCTCTGGTTTCTCTATAATATTAATTTTTTCTAAACTGCTTGCCAGTTGCTTCAATTGCCCGCTCTTACCAGTTCATCAGCGTCTGCTCCAAATTTTCTTTAAATTGTTCGCTGCTCAGCAAGGGACAGCTTTGCGAATCAAGTTGTTTGCCTTGCTGTCAGGACATTGTAACGTCATAGGCATAGATAATAAATTGGACTGGGATATAAGTTTGCAACGCAAAGGGAACCAGATCTAATTAAATTTCAAAGCTAGTTTAGCTGGCCGCGCACCATTCAAAATTGGCACTTCTCCGCGGGCCTCACAATTTTTCCTCGCGGGCCGCATTTGGCCCACGGGCCGCACTTTGCACACCCCTGGCTTAAGGAATGGTTTGCTCCTTCATATGATAAGAACAAGGCCTTTTGTAAGTTCTGCAGGTGGGAATTGAATTCTAGGTTATGATGTTAGCTTCTTCGACATCTAATATTACTGTATTATGGTTACTCTTCATTAAATTTATTGAATTCATATCTAGATGTATTTTGTAGATGTTTTATTTTTCAATCTGGATGTTTCTAGATGTTTTTAGTCAGGCAAAAGTGGCAGCCCTGCTTTTCATGGGTATAGTGATAGTCACTTTGCTTTTCAGCATATCCATGTATATTTCAGCAGTTGGCTTAGTAATTAGTTAGTATGGTATAATAAATGTATACTAATATACATTGTAGGATATTGTCCAATAGTGTAAAATCTTTTAATTATAAATTAATTTGGGATGTTCTTTCTCTTAAAGTAAAACCCAGAATCTGACATATTTCTGGGAATGAATAATGTGTGTTTTGTTCACAAGAACCTGAGTTTGTTTCACATTTATTTTGGAACTGTCCTTTCACACAAAATGATTCTGTTTATTTTATTGCCTTAAAAACCAATCATTGTGTTTTGAAAAATAATTATATTACTCGTATATTACTAGATTTGAATCATTAATGTTATTCACATTCTGACATTTGTCAAACTTCTGAACTTGAAAGGTAAGGCCATTATACAGTTATATTATTATTGTGTACTACCAGACATAAAATGTGGTTAGAGAGGAATTCAGTCATTTTTCAAAATGTTAACAATGTGATAATGAAAATTAAGAACTCCTTTATACAGTTATAGCTAGGACTGAAGGAGGAATATTGAAAAATATAGACAAAATCCTTATTTTACAAGAGAACTCGATATTATATACTGGTAACGGTGTAGTAGCTTATGATTATTTTTGCAATGTGATCCGTAGTATTGAAACTAATAGAATTTAATTTATGTTTTCATGATTGATAATGCTAATGAATAAATAATACACTGACGATTAATGTGGAAAATACATGCTGGATATACCAATGGACTATTATATGGAAAAATTGGAACAACTACTCTGCGAATAATGTATTTGTTTTGTCACTTGTATATCTGTATATACTTATCTATTGGTATTCGTACATTATTTTATACTTTAATTATTGATTAATCCACATTGTGGAAACATAAGAAAAGAAAAATTTAATATATATATATATATACTCGTACTTCTCTTTGGTTTCCGGGACAATTTATTACCTAGAATACTAGGCTATTTCTATTTATCCCCAAATTTATCACTGTATCATTTGTGGCATGGTGAGACTGCCCATTTACTACATTTATGTCACATGTTTTAAACCTCATTCAACATTTCGGCAACTGAAATTAGGTTCTGAGAATTTGACTTGTGTATGGTAATTATTTTGTATCGAGTATGAGTTGAGAATGAATTATCTTTTTATCCGATATATTTATGAAATTAGATTTTAACATTCTCTTCTTTGATCATGAAACTGGAATTAATTTTTGAATCAGTACTCCATAGCCTTAGTATGGAAAGCAAATTTTGATGAACATTCGTTCAAATATCCAAAGATAGCGTTTTTGTTGGATTTTATAATAATTGTTTAATCAATACTATTCATCTTATTACCGATTTGCGCATGTACCAACCAGGCATGTATCACCCAACCGTTATATATATTTTTTTGCTATGTACTCAGCTAATTGCATAATTGTGACTTTCAGGCTGGTCTCACATGACATCTTGCTTATACTGCAATAGTCTTAATAATTTGTGTAAAAGGCAAAATGACAGACAATGAGAAATTTGACATGTTTGATGAAGAAGGCTCGGAAATAACAAATGAAAACAAACCTGGTGAAATAAAGAAACCAGAGTCCCTACTGGATGCATTAGAAATCAACATATCGGATCCTGAAAGACGCACCACCACAAAAGGAAGTCTAAAAATGCAGGAGACTTATATTGTTTACATGATTGAGTCCAAGCCTCGGGATTTAGAAAATATAGATCCAATGTTAGAGGAAGTGACAGCAGTGTGGAGGAGATACAGTGAATTTGAACTTCTTCGAAATTATCTCATTGTATCCTACCCAGCGATCGTCATGCCTCCTTTACCTGAAAAACGTACTACTTTCATATGGACCAAAATCAGTACTGATACATTTGATCCTGAATTTCTCGAGCGAAGACGTGTTGGCTTGGAGGTATTTTTAAGGCGTATATGTGGTTTTCCAAAAAGAGATGAAATTGTGATGGCATTTTTGAAACAAGAAGAAGGTTGGAGGGAGACTGTGATGGCCACTGGATATCAAGCAAAAGCTGATTCATGGCTGCGAACAATAAATGCATCGATGAGAGTAAAACAACCAGATTCAAGTTTTGAAGAACTAAAAGATTATGCTACAGAAATGCAATCTGGTATTGCTGCGGTTTTGAAAGCGAGGTCTAAAATTGCTGATAGAATCTATGGATTATTCAAGATACATGCAAACTATTCAAGAATTTTTAAGGATTGGGGTGCAATCGAGGATCCTAAAATGGCAGATGCACTTCGCAAAGTGAGTCTTGAATTAGAAAAGATGTCAAGTTCAATCGACTTACTAATGGAAGAAGAGGAACTCTATGCTGAGCAACTAAAAGAATACCACAATTTTGCCAGTTCATTGAAATCAATAGTTAAAAAACATGAAGCGCTTCAATATGATGTGGAATATGTAGAAAGCCAATTGATGTCAGCAAATGTTGAAAAAAAGCAAGTCAGCAGTGGAGTAGACAAAGGTTTCAACTTTGGAGGAATGAGAGCAAAGCTTTTTGGTGGAGATACGCCAGAACAAAAGGAGATAAAATTGGCCAAGATTGATGAAAATATTCATATGCTCGAACAATCTGCAGAAACCAAAAGAACTGCTGCTTCTACTTTTTCTTCTGAAGCAAAGGAAGAAATTCTTCAATTTAAAAGACGAAAGCAGGCTGATCTTTGGGAGATATTGACAAATTATGTGATATTGCAAATAAAAATGTCCAAAGAAACAAAGGCAACATGGACAAGATTTAAAGCTGCAATTCAAGCTGCTTAATTTTTTAAAGTTCATCTTTTATCTATATGTCATATAAAATAGTTATATTATAAAACCAAATTTTCCTTGATTTGTCTTGTTTTATCAATGAATGACTGTTATTTTTTTACTGCCAATTACCCTGTGCGCTTCATCAAGTTTTTCCTTTATTTATGGATTATGTAAGACCTCAGTTGCACAAATAAGTAATTTCGAAACATTGATATTACCATTATGGAAGGCTTATTTCTATTCAATAAATATCTTCGCTAATTACACTAATCTTGCTATTATGACAAAGCTATATTGAATACAAAAAAATTCTCTTGTATCTTGAATCAACTCAAAAATTATTTGGCATCGAATTATGATTTTGTCTCCTTTAGAGTTGTAGTTCTTCTTTACCTTTGTTCCAAGAAATTTTTTCGAAAAAACATTTTTCTTGTATCACCCAGTGTTCATTTTTCGTTGGTTTACCGATCTTAATAACCAGTTCGATGTGTTTATCAATAGTCAGCTTAATATCGCTCTTGCTCATATTCCTGTGGAAAAACCTGTTCAATTTATTCATGTTCAAATATCGATCCTCCTGACTCATAACAAGCGACTATTTGTGAACGCAGTGTTGCTGACCATGTTCATACCTCATAACTCAATTTGTCCTACAAAACAGTCATATTATAGGTTGGGCGTTTCCTTGTTTGTATCATTTGTGTGCTTTTTGTTAAAACGACGGGAGGCCAGTCCCTAGTGCAACCTTATTCATCAATCAGCGATTAGATTTCATGATTATGATTTCAGCTTACATGATTCCAATTGCTTTTCATTTAATAATATAGTTCAGTTTATGGTGATTTTAAATGTTCCATGGCGTAGATTTGTTGAAAATTAGTGATAATAAATTATTCAATGATAGTTTGCTGAGCTCGACATGTTTTTTAGTTCAGACGTCGAGATATTGATGCAAAATAATGACTGAAGCCGAGCACTGCATTTTAACAAAAATTAGGCAGTTTTTAGAGATACAAAGGGTGTTCGTTAGTTGAAAGCTGTGATCAGAAATGCCAGTTTTGTGGAATTGGTATTTGGTCAGAAAGTGAGATAAACAAATGCATTGTTAAATTTTTGCGAGAAGCACAAAATAAATAACCGAAAATAAGAATCTTCGCAGATTTCATCTTAAAAAGGCAAACTATCCGTTTATTTTCATCAATGCACTACATCCCTCTTATCAATATGGCAGCCAGCTGTCAATTAACTGTGGCACCGCACCAGCTAACTCAAAACGCATGGACAACAACCCTCACAAAAGTATAACACATCACCTTTCTTGAAGACAGCACTGCGATTTAATGTCATCACTTTCATTCTAAAATCAGAACACTGAAAGCTCCCATTGACTTTTTAATAGGTTTGAAGCAGTGGTCCGCAAATCACGGCCTACGTAACGATATAATGTTGGCCCGCTGAACTAAAGTGAAATAGTTTATTTAACCCTTCATTTTTACCTTTTCGTGTTCTAGATACTCCCAATTGTTACGTCATTATCACAGTTTAAGCATGTGTATATTCGTAACAATTCGGTATCATTATACGTACCAGCACAGCCCCTTACGGGCGCTCCCCTTTTTCCGGTCCCCAAATATCCTTGCTCTTCTTTAATTTTGGCCCCTGGTCAATCAACTTAGGGAACCACTGGTGTAAAGTATAAAAATCCAATGCATAAAACCAACCCTATTATTTAGTGTTTCCACAACAGCCATAGAGAAAGCAATAGAAAACTATATAACCTGCCCTATCCTAGGCATAAAATATTGCAACAATGAACCAAATTATGAAGATTTATTCATCTACGAATCATATTTACGAACTCATGAAATCGTGCTACATGCAACTTTTGCAGTGCAGTATTTTGTTTCTGTATAAAAAGAAAATTCTGCGCTTACATAAAATAGAAATTGAAACAAAGGAAGCGACACCTTATCCCAGATTCCAAAGGTTCGCATGCTGTCAGTTTCAGTAGGGAACGTTTGCTGCGAACGACGATCTCAATCCAAAATGTACACTTACTAGCTATAAATGAGAGGTGTCCAAAAAGAACGAAAATTTCATTCAAAATAGCGATGTCAGAAATTAACACGGGGTGTAACAGTATTGAAATTTCAAAACATCCAATGGATGCAGAACTCAATTTGACAACTCATTCATAGCAAATTTGTGCCATTTTGACAGCAATGTTTAGTTACATAATAGATACCGCATGTAACGATGATGGATTATTAAAACAATAGATAATAAACATAATAAAGACCAGGGGATGGTTTGAAGCCAAGCCAAGTACTTGATAAAAAAAAGAGGTAGTTGATAGACTGTTATTGATTTGAGTGATACGTCGAATGAATTAACACCTAGAAGTAGAACCATAGCACAATAAGGGGGTTGCTCCTCTCGATTTGACATGAGACATACTTATGTCAAAATGCTTTTAAAATTCACTTATAACAAAGCAATGCCTATGAGAGTGGAACAAGAATGCGGAGCTAAGTTCAATCTTAGGACCACGCTTAGCAGAAAATAAATGTCAACTGAAAATTTTTAAAAATCAGATCATATAGAGGTAATTAAGTGCACAAAACTTGATGGTATGCACCAATACAGATAAACGTTGTTGAGTGTAGTTGAGACATAGAAGAATAGAAACAGTTCAAATGCATCGTTTTAAGAAATGACATAAACCATCCCCCACTCCGTGAGAATTACAATGAATGAAAAATGAAGTGGCAGTAACTTGTATAATAATTAGTGAACTTCACTACAATACAATAAGTATTTAATAATATTTCAAACTCTCATAGTTTATCAACTCAAACTTTGAGCAACTAATTTAATAGAAAATAAACATGTTAGTTAATAAAACAATTAAAACAAATAGTCCTTTAAAAATCACAGGACATGATTAAAGATACCTTAATAAGTTTGCAAAAATCGCAATAAGCAAAGCATCTCAAGAATGCTCGTGAGATCATTATTATGTATAAATTTATTTACTACTCCTGTACTAATGAAAATTGGAATGGTGGAATGACGGTAGCGGTGGTTAATTGACCCGCTAATCAAAATATAACAAAATAAAAACAACATTGTGAAGTGACACTGTGACCATGACATAAAAATAATTCAGTCGCAAGACACTTGACCATGATCATGTTTCTATGTAGTCAGGAACAGTAGACAACTAAAAATCAACTTGAAAAACTAAGACGAGAGACTTGTTACAAAAATAAATTATTTGCGCAAGCAGAAATTGAGGTAGACTAATCAAATATACTTGGGCGAAATGTTTAGCAATCAAAAGTTGTTCACCAGTCCAATCAATACAATTCTAACTCATTTATCATGAATCCGAATCAATTCAAAAATAAATATTCTAATATAAAATCGTTTTATCGTCTATTATCAAACTCGAGTCAAGTCTGGAATATATGCAAATTAAAATTTTCATTAGCCGAAATTTTATAGGATGTTTGGCAGCACTGTAATAGGCCAGGCTGTATTCAGAATCATGGTGCCGAGCCGCAAAATGTATCACGCCTCCCCAATATCAAGGCACTGTACAAAAATTTAATGACATCTTTTGAATGGGGCAGTTTCATCCGCAGTTCTGAGCTGGTATGACAGTGAAGAAAATTGCAACGATAACCTATTAAAGTAACCTTTACAGAAAAAAAGTGAATGGAAGGCAAAATTGGCAAACTTAATGACTGTGGCCCAAAATGAGGTACGAGCATAAAATCTAATTTAGCAAAATATGAAACTTTCAAGATGCCCATCTATATTTGTTTATTTTTAGGTGATGAACAAAACAGAAGTAGAGTAACTATATTGACCAACACAGATTCTTAATAATTTTTGGCCAAGTTTGAGTTCCAGAGATAATGACCCATTTTTCACAATACTATAAAAAAAATGAAGCCAAACTCAGTGTTATTATTCCTTCAGCACCACTAGATTGAGGTCACTAAGGTTTTCAGGCCAAAAATAGCCCAGATGAGTCAACAACATCAAAAACAAAAATTTTAATCCATTATTAATAAAGCAAAGTCCATGATCATAATATAGAATAAAACCCATTGGGCCAACTGAGGTACAATTACAAAACATTTGTTCTCTAGCTGCAGTCAGCAACAGAGATTAGAATAGTTGGCGTTGAAAGATATATACAAACTTGTGAAAATGGAAAGGTTGACGCTGGGCCCCTCCGTGTGATTATAATACTGACCCATCAGCTCATCCCACGAGTTGAGGCTGTGTGGCCCCGAACATATGCCATGTACTTTTTGGCCTCGTGGAATTGAAGATGTCCTTTAAAACGAGATGAAATGTTGCTACATTGTCTTCAACTCAAGACATCAGTACAATGCTTGTGATCTTCTTCAGACCTCTTCATCTTGCAGTGTGAAACTGAATCAGAATTGAAGAGTTAGGATTTCCTATATTTCATTCATATGATTAAATCACAATTTATAATTTTAAGCCAAGACATTTCTAAGTCACATTTACTTGAAACCAAGCCATATAAAAGAAGTTCTCAAATAGATTCACTTTGGGTGTAGAAACCCACATCCGAATCTTTGAGGCCTATTATTGAAAGAGGTGGTGAGCTTGGAACTGGAACATCAATCAATTTCGTTATTGATCTTACTGCATTGTGGGGTCCTTGCAGAAATGGTGAGTTGAAATGCATAAATTTCTAGAGAAAACTTGCTATTCAAACTCACACCAACTTTAAACAAATTCAGTGCGAAACATGTTTTTATAACATTAAGTATTTTGCAACTGGATTTTGCAAGCTAGTTTTACTAATATGACAGTGTCACACAGATATGGACTTTGTGACGCAAAAGAGACTACCAGATTAATTAAACTAAAAACTCGTTTCGCAGATGCACCATCCAAAATTGACACTTCTCCGCGGGCCACACAATTTTTTCTTGCGGGCCGCAGTTTGCACACCCCTGTTTCCTGATCAAATTAATAGTTCTTGTTCTCACCTGTAAATTTGAGGCCTGAGTACCACCGAGCATGTGGTGTGTAGGATATGCATAAACAGTCTGAGAAGAGCCCTGAGGTGACTGCTGCTGTTGCTGCTGCATTGACTGACCTAAACCAGCGTTAACAGGTGATGGCGATTCTGCTGCGGGTACGGATGAAATTGTGCCACCCATCAAGTTGGCTTGTCCTGCCATCAAATTAGGCATTGATGTTACATTTGTTCCAGGTGATGGCGATGAAACGTCCGATGAAGAACCAACATGTTGGTTCGGATTGATGGTCAAACCTCTATTCATTGAAGTATTTCCTTTTTGCTGCAAATCAAAGTAAATACCAGATGCATATACAGTACAATCTACTTTCAGGAACAGATATCCGAGGTCAGAACAATAAGTGTTCACTGGACATTTCCCAAGTTCACTATTTAATCACATGCATATAATATCAATGCCAGATATTTTACATATAAGAATATGAAACTTGATAAAGCATGTAAATATACAAGCAATGAAATTAATATTGTTGTATACATATATATGCTTAAAACACCAGATCTATCAATAAAGTACAGAGATATCAGAAATACATAAAAATGATCTTATGATGAAATCACGGCACCTACATCATAATATCATTTATAAGAGTCATTCTGACCAATACTCAAATAAATGCAGATACGAAACAGTGAATTTAAACACCAGATAACTCACCAGTTCTTTCCAAGCGGCAACCTCTTGTTTGTGTGTACCGAGAGATTGCTAGAAAGCAAGATTACTAAATGAGAGATAACCAGATTCATGCTAGCCAGACAGAACGATTGCTAGATATGAATTAAATTTTGTCATATAACCAAATTATTCCATTTTAATGAAATCTTGATTAAATTCCAAATATTTAAAAGCATGAATCTAGCAATCCTGCTCTCTAGAAATTCTAACGCAATGGATAATAATATTAAATACGATTTAACAAAGCAAGAGCTGTAACATAAAGATACAAATTTCAAAAATGACATACCGACTGCTTGTACGCCTCTAAATCTAACTCCCATTTCGCTCGTTCTACTTGAGCATTTCGGTAATATGGCGTCTTTTCCATGTCTGAAAGGCCATTCCATTGTTCTCCTGCTTTCTTGGTAATTTCCTGTAAAATTTACAACAGTTGATAACAGCCTTTGTCCCTATGGCTGAATAAACAAACAGATTTAACATGTATGAAAGAATAGATAGTTGCATGTACACAAGCATCTGAACTAATCATATTATAATCAAGATATAACAAACAATGTATCCAAACCTTTGCTGGATCTGTCTTGTTAGGATATGACTTCCGAAAATCTGCTAAAAATAAGAAATAAGCAGAGGGTGGTCGTTTTGGTCTGTTTGGATCCCGAGGCCTTTTTTCTAACGACTTGTCTTGTTGCCACCGTTCTCTATCTCGTCGTGCCAGCTCTAAGAATGGCTCCTTCTCATCTTCTGTCATGTGCCGCCATTTCTCCGCACATGCTTGTGTTATAATCTTGGCCTGAAGTAAAATGAATACTTAATTACCTAACTGTAACAAAACGAGAATATCGGTCAGAGACCGAAGACTTATCGATCGAAAGTTGGGGGATCCCCCAAAACTGCGCTCTTACTCCATAGCGACACCTTGTGTCCCATCACTAATTAATTAATAACTCGCTAATTATACGACATAATTCGCCCAAAATCAATAGGCTTCTGGTCCGAGATAAGATGAATGCACATGCAAAATCTGGAGCAGATTCAATCTCGCTTTCGTGAGATATCGCGTGCATCTAACAGACAAATACTTATCAACATACTTACCGATTAAAATCAATAAGTAATAAACGAATGGGAAAGGAAAATAATAGCATCTTGTTGCACCAAATATAATGAAATAATAAAATACACACTTTAGGAACAACTTCTCCTGCTTCTTTTAAAGTTTCTCTGTATTTGGACACAAAATAGAGGTATGCGGTTGTTGGACGCTTAACAAAAGTGTGCCGCTTTCGTTTGCGTTTATCTGTGGGTTTTCGGCCCCTCCTTGAGGGGGAAAACGTTGAGGTATCATGTGTTAGGCTTGATCCACCACTGATGGAAAGATTGCTACTGTTGGAACTTGTGCTTCCCCCACCAGTGTTATATTGTTGTTGGAACTGTTGCTGCATTTGAGCTAGCTGCTGCATTTGTTGAAACTGCTGCTGGGCTTGCTGTACCTAGGTGTAGAAATAAGAATTGTGCTTTACAAACCTATAAATTAGATTCGAATGTTTCTCCAAGTGGTATAAACACTAAGAAAATCATTGCTACATAAAATAATTTTGATACTGTTGTTGCCTCTTGGACATGACTAATATGTCTCCAATATTCGTCTACTTTGAATATAGGATATGTAAAATTACTGTAATCACTATTTCCTGATCTAAACAACATACTGTTTCATAACACACCTGCTGCAACTGATGTTGTAACTGTTGATGCTGCACGTTGTGTGAACTTGTTGTTGGTTGTTGCTGTTGATGTCCCTGCTGTTGTTGTTGTTGTTGTGTTTGTTGGTGTTGCTGCTGCTGTTGTTGTGACAGTGGACTGTTACCAACCTGAAAATGATGAAATAATTATTTCCTGGTTAAGCAAATTATTTAGCAACAAGAATAGAACATAAGAAAATGCAAGTTAGTTAGTTAAAGAGAAAGATATCATATATCACATTGTGTCACACAAAACCAGCCTTTGATCTGGCAAAATTGTAATAATCAATAATTACCAGTAGAATGCAATTACCTGGTGGTTCATATAAACAGAGACCTGCTGGCCAGTTTGACTGTTTGGCATTGACACCTGTGCTGTTTGGAAGTTGTCATTGTCTGAGCAATAAAATGAAATAGTTAATAATTTGAATCAATCTTCATGATGAGAAAAGGGCATAACTCTTTGAAAAATTGCAACCAAAGTGTTACATTTCTATCTTCACTATAGCCAACAGCTTGTACAGTTATGAGAATATTCATCCAACTGCCTTTTTATTGCAATTCACTTAAGATGCGCCACCATTCAATTCACCACTAGAAAATAATTAGCCTACGGTTACTGCAGCAAGATTATTTTATTGAATACCCACAGAATTTTATTGGGCATCAAACATAATTTGCATTCTTTTGATTTAATTTAAAAAACATGGACATACACCACTAATAAAATGTTTTTATCCCTACTTAAGAATCAAAATACAGGTATCAAACAACATCTAGACCAGATTACTAGAGATATATTCCATACGACACATTGGATATCAACCACTTGAATATTGAAGATATTGCAAGTACCAGGCTCATACCAAATTAAGATTGAGTCTGATCAATAAGAGCAAACAATTGCCGGTGTTTCAGATGACCTGCAGATAGCTCAATTACACTACTACAAATGCCATCAAGTCGACAGTGGCATATTTCATATTATCCTATACTGAATGGGAATTGACAACCAGCCAAGTAAAAGATTAAGCGGTAGAGCCTGGTAGATTTTAGCCCCACACCATAGATACATAGAAATATTCCAATATATTCAACTAATACATACATCCTTTTTGAATTGCACTAAGCATCCGCACAGCTTGCTGCTTCAAGTAATAATCATTCGCATTGAACTGCTGCTGGCCGCTCTGTCCTTGTTGACCATCTAAAAACAAAAACATTAAAATTATATATGGAAATTGATAGACAAATTACAATTACTTAAACTGTCAACAACACAACTGTATGTTTATTTGCCTCAAAAATGTAACAGTATCTGCATAATAATTAAACGATATAACAGAGATGGGATACATGTTTAAGACCATACTGGTCTATGACACAGTACATGTACCCTTCACAAGTATGACAGCAGTCCAAAACTGCTGCGTTATACAATTTCTCGGACACAGAAGGAATTTTCATTTTTATCAACTGGAAAGAGGACAAGATATTACAGATGGCAAAATAGTCTTCTCTCGATGGTTAGGAGCGCTATTCTTGATATAGAAATAGCTACCTAGTTAATAATTTCAGACGCATAAACGAAGCCATAAGTGCCAGCAGTCATGACGGCGGTTCTAAGTGTTATGAATCCACAAGCCATCACCCTCATGGATTCTGGTTTGAAAACTTAGTCAGTAGCGCACAGTTACCAAATTCCAAGATGTCCCGTCATTTGGTTCAATAAAATAAACACTCCATGTGTCTCACACACGAAGGGCGTCTGGCACGAAGAAAGATGCGTCATATCTCGCGCCATGCTTGTCTAGATAATAATCTAAACTAATCGCGGCCATCACGTGACCAAAATTGCTGTCTTTTGCTAAAAACTCTTGAATGCCACGATGAAATATTTTTTCCAAAGGAATTCAATGATGATGTTTTTAGAGTGCGCTTCTTGTTAGTTTATTGCGCAACTTCATTTTACTGTATTTTTACCGATATTTTACAACAATGTTTAGATGTCCCCGAAAGAAGGGGTGTCTGTTTATCAGCGAAATTGAATTCTCTGAAACTAGACAAAGTCGCTCGATCTGTAAAGTGTGCTGTACTATTAGTGGATAATCTGTAATATCTGAATTCATGCCCCCATGAATCATGCAAACTGGTGGATATTTTCAGCTTCCTCCACTGATTAGCTATCCATGTACGTTTGACATAGAATGATAACCAGATGCGAGGCCCCAACAGAATGGAGGAGTGAATGGACAAAAAGCCAACGATTTATACATTAAATAATTTGTGAATAGATTTTTGTTAGAATGTAATTATTTGCGAATAAACTTTCACAGGAATTGCTCACGAGAACAGCATATTACAAATTAAACTTCTAAAAATTGAGTTATTGGAAAGCAGGTTTTTCATGTCAATTTCCCCTCAGGAATCAGATTCTGTTACTCAATGGCTGACACGAAGGTAGTGCCCAACGACGTCTTCTTATTGGAAGATTTTAAACGAGTATAAATTCTAATCAAAACTAAATTCTGGCAAAAATCTCCCCAGCCAGTAGAAACACATTCGCATGGAAATCCACTCTTACAAAACTATATTCTAATTAATGACTGGCACCACACAATTATATTCATCTTGGATTTTCAAACTTAGATGCAAACTTCCATGGTTCATTAGTTTATAATATGATGGAGACCTATTATCCAGATCCCCCAACCCCAGAAATGATATTCAAATATTAACTTGAAGCACCCTACAGAGCAAGATTTCATAGAAGACTGTCTGCATTTTCCAGTATTTATTAGAAAGCTTATACGCAACAGTAGACAAGTCACGCAGCAGGATGCGTGTATGGTCAAGACAGTAATGCATATAATGACATACTACAGTACGGCACACTATACAAATTGGGTGACATTGTCCCGTTTCAGAGAAACCCATTTTACAGATGATCAGACACCCCTCCTTCGGGAGACGTCCGGACATTGTTGTCCCTCATAATCGGTAATAATACAGTATAATGATGTTGCGCAAAATACTACAAAAAAGCGCAATCTAGTAACGTCATCATTGAATTCCTTGGGAAAAAATAATCAGATTTACTGAAGGGAAAAAATTAATTTAGCGATTAATTTAGATTATTATTGAGACAAGCATGGCGTGATATGAAGCATCTGTCGTGGTCCCAGACGCCCCTCGTTTGTGAGACACATGGAGTGTTTGTTTTATTGAGCCAAATTCTTGGAATTTGGATAGTGTGCTGTACTGTACTACTGCCAGACTGCAAAATGTCTGTATGTTGGTTTTCACTGTCACACTGCACAAGTAGACTATTACAGAATCAACTATCATTTTGGCCTCATGATTTAAATTGCAAAACTTGAAAAAGCTGGTTAAGGCAGTACAGCAGTAACACACGCCTGCTGCAAGCCATAACCAAACACTGAAACAGCCAAATGCTTGCTTAAATATTCTGAACCGATAAAGCGGCTGATCTAAGTTTGTAAATGCTGAATACTGGAATTTACGGCTGTATATCCGATAAATGTCGCATTGTAATGTTTTATTGTTTACTGCACGATTACACTTGAAAATATCCCATCGATCGGAAACGTAAGCAACAACCTGGCCCTTGCGTAATGCGAGACAAGCGCCGCGTCGAAGCTGGCAATATTTAATGTAAACCGTAATAGCGGTCAGAAAATAAAGAACAAACGTGAAAATTGCGATAAAATGCCGCAGACTAACAACTGAAGCAATTTAACACTACGGCTGACATTGCTGATTAAATTATTTTATTTGTTTATTATATAATTAACACTCACCGGCCATCGGCGTGTTCCTCAATTTTACAAAATAATGATAAAAACTATATATAACAAACAAGAAAGTGCAGCCAAACGCCAGGAACAAAGAATAAAGAGAAAACAAAGTAGACTCTCTTCAGTCATTGGCGTTATACGTTACACGTATGCCCGTAGAGCACCCGGAAACGTAATGAAAAAATCAAATTAAAGGAAGAGGCTCGACACAAAAAGCTTCGAAACACAATACAAAATTTAAAAATAATTGCAAACTTTTATTATTAAGATATAATAAAACAGATATATCCATATCTAATTTCATAAACAATGAGTTTTTGGAGTATATCGATTACTAAAAATTAAAATCGAGTAGCGCCCTTTAAAAATTTCAAGCCTTCTCGCAGTTTGAAACGCTCGAGTTCGCGCGCCTTCTACACAACTTCGACAAACAACGTATCGACCAATGGGAGAGATAAATATGTTGCGCCAAACACACACAAAAAAGAGAAGGGAGAGCGGAGTAATGGCTGCTTGCTTGTTCTACTCTTTGTTCGTGCGTTTCTTTACTCGGTTCTCGTCAACCCGACGTGCGGCGATCGGTCTTAGGATGGTGTATGGGCGGTCTGTCGATGATAAACGTAACTAGCAAAGTCATAGCCCCACGATGTCAAATAATCGTACTGCCAAATACAGCATGTTTCGTTCGGACAGAAGCGGAATTGTATACGCCCATCATAATAGTAGCAGAATGCAGCACTCGTTGCAGACGATTATATTGCACCAGTCGAAATGCACTTTTACGAATCCAAAGCCCGACCGGAATGCGCTGCAAACAATATATACTGTAGAATGGACTGAAAATAGGCGACAGATTTGAAAACTAAATTCAATTGAGCCAAACAGAGTTGTTTATGAGTTTCCCACCCATTTAAGGGTGCTCATGGTGAAGACTTCACCAGTATACTTCGCGGTCTTTCATGGTTGGATCGGAACTTTGGACTGCAATAAAAAGAAGTGCATATTGGAATGTGAGACACAATACCTTAGATGGCAAAGCGAATAATAAAGTTACTGATGCATACTCTCATCAAGTCACATAATTCCTGGTAGATATTGTGTATTTGAGTTTTTATACATGCAGCACTTATATCAGGACTGATGCGATTTCTGGTGCTTGAATCCACGTGGAAAAAGAGGCGTCTACATATGTTTGAATTACCAAAAAACTTGATGGTGATGCGACAATATTTTGAATGATTTCAAAATAATCTGGAAAGGATTCATTCCACTGCAAGAGAATCATACTTCAAGTAGGGCTGGGCATATCGAATCGAATAGTAAATTATTCGAATCGGTTCAGAGCTAAACTTCGAATCGCCGCCATCTTGTTTTTATCTTTCCGCTAATGGTCGAGGTGAATTCCCCAAGTCTTTTTTCATTGGAGTCATATTTTTTCAACGAAATTCTAACGTATGACTATTTCCTGTAGTGAGTTATTCTATGTGAACGCTCAGTAATCTATCTGAGTGATTTATTCTATGTCTTCAGTAATTCATTTGTTGAGAGGACCAATTACTATAATAAAGTCGCTTACAATTATATATTTTCGAGATTCGATTCGAAAAAATTATTCGATTCGATTATGAAATCACAAGGTATTCGAAAATGCCCAGCCCCAACTTCAAGGTCGGATTTCAATCGCATTAAAGTCCTTGCCATCCCGCGTCATTGTTATTTTGGTTTTCTGGGCCGTTAATTTATGTCTATAAAATATTGTTTTCCGAGAGGCTTCACATGCGGAAAAAGACTAAATTGCAAATTAGCATCTGGTTTTCGCATACGGTACCTCCAAAAACATCCTCGAAATACGTTGCGAAGAATCGGCGGCAGTTCAATTGTTTTGTTACGCCATTAACGATGTAACAACATTGTCTCCAGATAACGGTATATGGGGCCCGGACAGACAATGAGCGAGTTTTAACATTTTACTTTTGGAACAATCACCGCGATAACAACACGCGTTAAAAGAGCTGATGTTACCAGCCGATGTCGATTTTTTAGCTTCGTAAAATATATAATCCAAGGCTCGTAATAACCTCTAAAGTGCCACGTTATTGCGGAGTTGGCCTTTTTGCATCTTCAGTGCGTACAGTAACGTTTCTGTTGGAAACTACGCAAATTGCGTCCCTTACATGTGTCATTTATAGCAGGGGTTCTCAAACTTTTGGTGTTGCGGAGCCCCTGAAAAGGTTGACCATTATTCGCGGAGCCCCAAAAGAAATGTTAAAATTGTAGCTTTCCGATAAATATTCCTGAGTAAGTTAAAAGTACTTAACTTAATTTAAAGGCTAAACCTTTTTTTAATGGGGTTAATGCAAGTCATAAATAAATCAAAATTTCAAAGATAAATTATATATACTCTTACTAAAGCTGTAAATTTGACACTTGACAAACATATTAATAAACTAGGGGTCGAATCTTTTCCCTTTTGACATTTTCGGAAGTCGTATTTTTCCCAGATCTTGTGATTTTTTTAACGGCGATATCTTGCTTAATAATAATCTCGAGTGCAAAAGAACAAATCAAGTTTGACAAATTCCAAGATCGCAAAAATACGACTCCAATTTATTCATAGGTGGCAGTTTATCACGTATTTTATGTTATTTTAGAATAGTATTCCTTCATTTTAGTAATCCTAATAGTAATCTCGAATGAAACTTGAGTAACTATGAGTATAGCAACTAACCCCCAAATGTACCCCATTTCATGTTGAAATCATCATGACAAAGTTAATTTTTCCCAAAATTCGAACAAAGACTTTCATAGGAATCAAATTACACTGGTTTAAGAACATAACAGGTTCCATTTAGTCATTATCAAATTAAAATCTATATTCTCAAGACCTTTGGTACTGATTGAAATAATTATCTCCAAGTTCCCATCCGTACGATGTACATAATTACCCTTGTTGAGATAATAGGAATTTCTGTTTATAACGTGAATCACGAGCTCGCGTTTATAGCATTTAATTGGATTTATGATCAACGTATAAATACGACTCCGATATCTTTCGAGAGGGAAGACGATGTAAACCATTCAAAGCGAGTGTGGATAAATGTTTTAAGATTTGTATTCTGTGTGTTGTGGAAATTTACGAATAAAAACATATAGAGATTTTTAACGCATCTTCATTCACGTGGGCGTTGAAGCTGAAGGGTGAACGGGTAACTTGCAAGTCAGAGACAATCTACAAATTAGCAATATATGGTAACATCACATTCATCTACCATTTATGCTATAAATAATATTCATCTAGCAATCTTATATGCTATAAATGGTGACAAAACCGACTTGAATTAACCTTCTGAAACGGATCAGATCAACGGACAACAACCAGGACAAGCAACAATTTGACGGAATCAACCAAAAAGCTGACCAAGCAGAAGCTTTCAACAAGTGCCGAGAAACCGTCTCTACAAAACGTGCGAAAATCAAATTCGACCAACTTACGAACGTCGGGGAGATTCAAATTGCCTGGAACAACGATTGAAGTAGCAAATTGCTGACAAGCCGAAATATTCAAAAACATTATGAAAAGACAATAATTTCAATTGAAAACAGTTGAACTATGGTAACGGACTCTGGAAACGTTAAAATCATGAATATGGACTGTGTTGTCGAACAATCGAAATGAACTCTTTTAGAACATGATATATGTTCGAGGTGAAAAACCTAATCAAAAACGAACTGTTGAAAACAATGAACTATATACATGGACTGTTTTACGGTAAATTACGCGCTCTATTCCAAACAATAGAGATATTTTCGCGCATACCTAATGGATATACAGATCAGGAGCATGTAATTCTACAATTTGTTTCATGATTTGCAGGTTTTTCTTCTCATTGAGACAGACATTTTTCATTCTTCCACTAATACTAAGGTAAAGTACTTCTTTTTCTTCTTATATATATACATGGCGTTTCATTCGGCTTTCAATTTTTATAAATTAATTAATGGTAAAACTTTGAATATTCTAATTTCAAATACCTTTCAAGAGATTTATATTATTGAATATTTGTGGTTAGAATTCCTTTTCGATTAAATAGTTTTCGTTAGAATTAAAATGCTTTCTAAAAGTAGATTCGAGCGAGTCATACTTTTAATTATTTACAAAGCCGTCATATAGAACGGTAAAATAATAAGCTCGTTTAACAAAAATTGTATCCAAAAGCGTTATTTTTTCAAAAAAGCCCTGAGATGGCATAAACTTAAAAATGCGTTTTTTCTTCCCGACATGGGACAAGCATATATTGACCAACTAGGTCTACAAAATCGTAACAATGCGATAATGCGAGCATTGAGTATTTTAGCGTAGCGAAATACATTAAATTGAAAACATGTTTTAACCGTTCAAAACCAAAATTCCGAAATAAAAATACGCCATCCTTCTGTAATTCTAATTTACAACTTTTACCCTTTGCTATAACCTCCTGTTTATTTCAATGTCTTGTCTCATTATAGATCATATACATTTAAATATTTTTTTGACCTATATATATCATTAATTTTAGCATTGTGTATTGTATTTTTCTATATATTTTCAATTTATTAGAGGTGCCAAATCTTTAAACTTCCAGTTAGTAAGATGGGGAGATAATATAGCAACTAACCCCCAAATGTACCCCATTTCATGTTGAAATCATCATGACAAAGTTAATTTTTCCCAAAATTCGAACAAAGACTTTCATAGGAATCAAATTACACTGGTTTAAGAACATAACAGGTTCCATTTAGTCATTATCAAATTAAAATCTATATTCTCAAGACCTTTGGCACTGATTGAAATAATTATCTCCAAGTTCCCATCCGTACGATGTACATAATTACCCTTGTTGAGATAATAGGAATTTCTGTTTATAACGTGAATCACGAGCTCGCGTTTATAGCATTTAATTGGATTTATGATCAACGTATAAATACGACTCCGATATCTTTCGAGAGGGAAGACGATGTAAACCATTCAAAGCGAGTGTGGATAAATGTTTTAAGATTTGTATTCTGTGTGTTGTGGAAATTTACGAATAAAAACATATAGAGATTTTTAACGCATCTTCATTCACGTGGGCGTTGAAGCTGAAGGGTGAACGGGTAACTTGCAAGTCAGAG